CTTTATGAACATATTATATATGTATGCATGCGTCCTAATGAACATATTACTTTATAAGAAGACAAAAACCTTGAAGAATAACAAGAATAGGTTTTGTGAATAGTGGAACAAGATTCAGCAGAACAATATAGTTAGGGTTCAATATAGGTAGTATGAACTGAAGGTAAGGTCGGTTGGCAGGACCAAGTGTACTAAATTATCATGACAGTTTTATATATAGTAAACATTTGACATTGCAAAGTAACCTGTCTACATATATTATAAAAAGATATTAGCAGAACCAACAAAATTTCAGCATTTGGTTAACAATACTACAGAAAGTTAGTGAGTCTTACAGGTAGCCATAAAGTAAATCAATCTATATACAATAAGAGTGTAATCATTGTTATAATTCGTATTATCAAAGAATACATTAGGCTCAAAAACTGAATGTTATAAGGGAAATAAGAGTGATAAACTAAGAGAACATTTGCTGCGTAAGTAATCATTTTAAGTATTTTAATGATAATCTAATTTCAAGTATTGAACATGCATAATTACTAAGTATTATTAGGTTAGTCTAGGAACTAGTGTACTGTCTGTAGTTAAATATTGAGATGTCATGGTTTCACCACTCTACCAGCAGTTGAGATCATTTAGAAGGGCTAGGGTGGACATGTTAATATGTTTTTCTAGGCTCCTTTTGAAACTGTCAGGCCTTTCACAGGATCTAATCTCAGAGGGTAGTTGGTTCCAAAGTTTGCAATATTTAATGGTGAAGAAGTTAGCTCTAGTGGTGAGCTTATGGGTGTTAACCTTGAGAAGGCAGTTATGGTTGCGTAGTCCATACGATTTAGGATTAGCCCAGGTTATAGACGAGTTACTGTTACAGTGCTTTCTTATAACTTTGAATAAGAGAACTAAATTGCACTTCACTCTCCTTAACCATAAGGGTTCTAAGTCCAGTCGAATACATCTGTCAAGGTATTCTATTTGCTGATCATAACCTAATATGCGTTTCGTCAGGAATCTTTGGACACTTTCAACTTTTTTTCTGTCTGCTGATTTAAAGCTACTGTATAAGTGGGCACAGTATTCAAGTTTGGGGCGAATGCATATCTTATATATGGCTAATCTGGCTTCTGGGGTGTAAAAGTTGCGTAGCACAAAGCCTGTTAGACGTTTACAATCAGATACCACCTTATTTGCATGTTCAGTAAAGGTAAGATCTGAGTATGTTACCCCGAGATCTGTGACTGTGTTCGTGTTTGAGACAGGGTCACCGTACATGTATAGACACATGCTAGGTTTCCAACGTCCGAAGTATGTTATCCCAGATTTAGCTGGATTGAACATTAACTGCCACTTTTCACTCCAATTACATAGACTATTTAGGTCTTCTTGGATTTTACTAACAATATTCACATCATTATAGTCGAAATCATAGACAACTTTGAGGTCGTCTGCAAAGAGGTATGGCTTGCCATACTTGATCATAGAAACAATATCATTTATGAATACAATGAATAGGGTAGGGCCAAGAACACTACCTTGTATTACGCCGCTGGTTATCGGTTTGGATGTTGATAAGAGATGGTTGACTTTAACTAACTGTTCTCTTCCTGTAAGAAAAGAAGTTATCCACTCAAGTAGCCTTCCACTTATTCCATAAGATAGGAGTTTCAATATGAGTCTCTTATGTGGAACCTTGTCAAAAGCTTTCCTAACGTCTAGGAATAATGTTGCTGCTGAACGACCTTTGTCTACACACTCAGTAATGTGGTCGAAATAATCTAATTGGCAAGTAATGCACGATCTTCTATTTAGGAAACCGTATTGGAAGGCAGATATTAAGTCATTCGAGAGCAAAAACTGAACAATTTGCTTCTTTATAATCTTTTCCATCACACGTGAAACTACGGAAGTAATGTTGATGGGGCGGTAATTATCTATGTCCGCTATAGGCCCGGTTTTGTGAATGGGTACAACGTAAGATTTCTTCCAGCTATTTGGATATGTTCCACTCCTTATCGAAGTTGAAAATATCTTGAGAAGAAGTAGATTCATGTCATTTCCACCCTTTTTTAAGAGGACAGAAGACATTCCATCTGGGCCGGGAGTATTAGTAAGCTTAAGAGTTGTGGTAGCTTTATCGATTTCTTGGGCGTTAAAGACTACATCGCTTAAACACTTATCTGTTTTACGAGGGAAATCTATATCCTGGTCGTTTTCTAGAGTGTACAATTTGGCAAAGTGCGTGCTGAACACCTCACATATATCCTCATCACTTTCGTGAGTAATGCCACCTAGGTGTATTATTTTTGGATATGTTGATTTGGAGTTAGTTAACCTACTTTTGAAGAGTTTGGCTATTTCTCCAGTGTTATGTGGCGACTGAATTGCCCGCGTCTCTTTATTTCTTAGACTTAGATTTTTTAACTCATGGATTCTAATGAGGATTGTTTTGATAGCTATTAACGACGATAAGTCGTGATGTCTGTAGTAACTTAATGAATGCTTCCGCATACTTCTTCTTAATGATATTGGAATAAAATCACCTTGAGGAATTTTGAATTTAATCAGTTTCACAGGCGCTATGACATCATTAACCGACTGTATATTGTCATAGAAGTTTTTAAGGACTTCCTCTAAGGAGTCATTGGTAAAGTAGGAATCCCAATTAGAGTATCTAATCAAGTCCTGATACAAGTCCCAGTCAACCTGCGTGTATAGTCTTATAGGTGTCGGAACAACTTTGTTTCTGTGTATAGTTTCTGGAGAAATATTAAACGAACATGCAACTATTTTATGATCACTACCTGGGAATTCATGTCCCACATGAATTGTAGATGGTGCTACGTTGATCGTGAATATAAGATCAAGGATGTTATCGGACCTAGTGGGTACATTTATGTGTTGTGTCCATCCTCCTGTAATGATGGAATTAAGAAGATTATCATACCTCGAGGGTCCACGAAGTGTACGCCATGATATATCAGGCAAATTGAAATCACCTCCAATTATATTATAACTGAAGGGAAGATTGGATGCAACACTAAATACGTTGCTGAGTACGTTATCGTATTCGCGGTTGGATGATGGCGGTCGGTATACACACCCTATAAGGATAGGTTTACTTCTGAGAACTTTTATTTCGACCCACACCGAATCATTAAGTTGTGACAGAATAGGGTGACTAAAATGCGTTGCACAAATGGGTTGTTTAACGTATATGAGTGTTCCACCCCCACGACCTGTTTCCCTATCCCCTCGAAAAAGATTGTACTTATCAATTGATAAGCTATCATCCGTAATATCACTTGAGCACCAGGCTTCAGTGATCATGATCAGCGACGGATTGCATATAGAGGCTAACGTACATAATGCTAAATGTTTGTTAAGAACTGATCTAGCGTTTATGAGGATGACTGATAGACTTTGACTAAGTGGTTTTAGTGTATGGGCAATATCATAATAAAATGCTCTATGGTTATCAGCTGAATATGTGCAGTCGTTATTGGATTCATTAATTGCAACATTTTGATCACTACAAAAAAAGCTGGGTCGAATCAGTGGCCAACAGAAGACCAATTGATGTCGTCTTCATAGACTTCAGCAAAGCCTTCAATAATGTTCCTCACAAAAGACTACTCATGAAGTTGGAAAGTCTTGGTATCAAGGGCAGCTGACTAAACTGGATAATAATAATAGCTTTATTCCAAACAGTATTTGTGGTACATGTATGGAATTTTCAGCGTACATTACAATAGTGCATCTAATTACCTCATAAATTTTATAAGATTTTAAAAATAAAAAACAACAACAACAAAAAGAAAAAAGAAAAATAAAAGAAATAAAAAAGAACAGCATTGCATTCACATATTTAAACAATGCACCGCAGGATTTGAAATATAAAATTAGTGTGTAATAGAATATGTGGGCAACAATATAATAGTGACAAAGAAAGGAGAACAAAAGCTAGTGGGAACTATTTGTTCCTTTTCCTCATATATAGGAGGCAGAGGGTTAGGATGAACCCGGAACTCTCCTCCTGGGCAGCAGTGCGTAGTGGAGTGCCACAATGCACAGTGCTCGAACCTCTCCTATTTATTTTGTATATCAGTGAGTTGTCTATGCTCACCGATTGCCCTATGGTCCCATACGCAGATGACTTAAAAATTTGGAGACAGCTGAAGGGCGATAGTGATATGCTCACGTTGCAAAGGACCTCAACAAATCGTCAGGGTGGTTCAGACAATGGGTGCTCCCGATCAATGTAGCGAAATGTGCAGCCATGCGCATCAGCTCCTGCGAACTAGAGGGGATAACACTCCCATCATTTCAGACTCATTTAGATTTGGGTGTCATAGTTAGCAACGATTTAAAAACTGCAGCACACTGTCACGCGGTGTCTACAAGTAGTTTCAGATCCTTATGGGGAATTCTCAGAGCCTTTGCTGGAAGTACCAGAGATATGTTCACCTCCTCATATATATCTCTGGTGAGGTCAGGAATGGAAAACTGTATCCAGGCATCCAATCCTTGTCTTAAAGGGGAATCACACATTCTAGAAAGGGTTCAAAGGAAGGCAACACGTATGGTCCTCGGCATGAGTAACCTGTCATACGAGGAAAGACCAGATATTTTAAATCTCTTCTCCGTGTCATACCGTAGGCAGAGAGGAGATTTAACCATAATGTTTTAAATTTAAAATAATGACTACGGACCTGACCTATTTTCTCTTTTCCTTCCCACCAAGTCGGAACACTTTGGAGGACATAGCAGGAGAGTTCAAAAGCCAAGAAGAAATCATACTGCTGTTGAGTACTGGTTCTCACACCGAGTTATAAACTCTTGGAACCGACTCCCAGAAGAAGTGATATCTGCAACCTCAAATGAATAATTCAAGAAGGGTATGGACAGGCACATAAACTTACTAGAAAAGGATTAACATAGGCTTCAAGCCTTCTGTCCTCAACTAAATCTGAATTCTGAAGGATATTGAATATTGCAAGTCCATTCAAGTACTTGCGTTACACTTGAGTTGCGTCCAACCTTTCAGGTTACTTGTACCTAGTCTGTGGATAGTATCACTAGAGTCGAGTTGTGACAACTTTGGAACACCATTTGAATTGTTTATTGTTTGAATGGCATCCAAAATACCCTTCAAAAATGATGGGAGCTTTCTGGAATTATTTAAGCAAATGCAGGGTATTTTTCAGCATAATTAATAACTGGTTTTAGCTGAACAAGAAAGAGTATCTATTGAAAAACCTATAGTCCCTGATGTAAGTTCGCTTTTTTAAAGTTAACTCTTTGTTCAGGAGGTTAAATTAGAAGACATCGATGATTCTGACAGGTAACTTGTGTTGCTTTCACTGACTTTGCTTCAGTAAACCATGCAAAATTGAAGACGTAAAAGGTAGTTGCTTTGTGTGATTTTTTATGTCTTAACTTCCTATAAATGGGTCCTAAGTGCCGTATTTCCAGTTATTCCTGATGATCCTAAGGTTTTGGTGGCTATCGAATCATTGGTCCTTCGCGTTTGTGGCATGTCTCATAGTCTGTGCGAGGCTGAGATCAAAAAGTTTGAGGACAGCGTCCAGTACTGGTATGTATAGTTGCCTAACACTTTTATGTGACTTCGACAGGTTCCTGACACTTCCAGAGACCAACGAATACAAGTTCTTCAGAAGAAGACTGGCAGAGATGCGAAAGAATAAATTGTCGTGTAATCCAGTCAGTAAGTTTTACGATGGTCTGTATTCGAACTCCTCAGTGATACTCGGTATTTAGTATCTTTGGGAGGTGTAGTAAAGTCACTATTTTCTATGAATGTTTAGGAGGACTAAAGTAATTAATTGTGGTAGAAAATTCATTTGGTTTTCTAATTGTTGTATTCGATTTCTTTTCTCTGACTAAAAAATATTAATTAATATGGAAAATTGAACTGATGTCCTCTGTCTAAGGTTTAATTTTCTATCCATGAGTTTTTGGTATGTCGAATGTTAGAAATAGCCTTACAGAAACTAGGTTTTAGACTACCAGTTTTAGATTCTTAGTCGAGTCCAACTACAAACTTACGAATAAAACGAATGTAAAATGCGTGAAAATGCACTGGTCTAAGTAGTTATTGCCTGTTATTTATTCTAAATAGTACTCACTTTTTTGACACATCCGAATATTTGTGAAACAAATTACTTCTCCAGATATTGTGTTGTCTCGGCGTTCTTGACCCATCCTTTTTGTAACTTAAACTTGTTAATGCCCATTGTGTCTAAAGATTTTAGCCTAGAGGATTGCGGTTGTCAGACATACTTTTAATGTTTTCTAACTTTCATCCTGCTATTATTGAGTCTTAAAAAAGAAGGTCCTAGTGACAACCACAAAATAAAGTGACTTAAAAACCCTCATTCAGCGACTATTGAAAAGAGTAACTCTTCGCTAAACGCCTTTTCTTAGACAAGAGAAAGTGTTCGTAAAATCTTAAGTTCCATAGTCTTACTGCGGTTAAGCCCTTATATGTTATAATAAATCTAGCTACTTTGAGACTTGATAATATGTGCATCACTCTAACGTCTTGGAATCCGGTTGCGCCTCTGAGTGCCAAAACTTAGCTATATTTCTTGATCCAAGGCTTACACATCCTTTGGTAAGCTTTTGTTTGACGAAATATGTACCAAGTTTATCTTGTTTGTCAGGTCTGTATGCGTTCACTTTCTCCATAAAATGGGATAAGATCCATGTAGGTGTACTTATAAAGTGGTCTTCATCAAACATCTTCAGTTTGACTCACTGACTGGTTTCAACATAGAACTTCGCGCAAAAGTATAGCAGTTCAAACTGCGACACTCCATGTGGCGCATAAAGAAAGACAAAAAAGAGATTCGAAAGAAAGATAGTTAACGGAAATAGGAGGCGGAAAGAATAGGAACATGAAAAACAATAGGGTTTAATGAGTATGGCAGATCACAAAGAGCGAGTAAATCTGCTCCAATGAGAAAGATTCTGAGCTATATCACCAATTTCCTCTAGCCATTGGTTTTTAGCATCTCGAGGACTCCACCCAAGAAGTCTTTGCCTTCCTACATGACTCAAACTAACTGTCAGAGATTGCATATACTAATTTCATGTTTTGGTTTAGCCCACTGTAGTGTTTATGAGTTAATCAAACATTCACCGATCAAGTGAGAATATTGAGGGCCCGCAATAAAGGCTTTATTCGTTTTATAATTCCAGTATAGAATCTGGTTTAAACAAAAATGAAAGATGTGAATAGTGTATAATATAAATGCTAAACGTTTATGAAAATGTTCACACCACATTCTTCTCCCCTTTTGTTTGAGAATACAGAGCATAAGGAGTCAAGACTTTTAAAATTGTTTAGACTTCGCGGCTTATCAGATTGTATGGACGAACCCTTCGTTGTTTCTCTAGTAAAGAAGATGGTTTCGGATCAATTTTGACATTTTCACTTAAATTGTCCGTCAAAATAGGAGTTTCAGTATCTGTAGAACGGGTGGATATGTCGTCTTCAGTAAGTTGATTTTGGAGGCATTCTGGTACTGCGTCTGGAATCGGCATGCTAACGGGCGATTGAAATATATGTTCTTTTGGTGCAAGATGATGAATAGATACTGTTTCCTCACGTCCATCTGGAAGTCTCACATGAGCATACTTGGGATTACATTCAATCAGTTCAACTTCATCAACTGGAGATTCATATTTAGAACGTACATTACGGCGCATCAAGACCGGTCCAGGAATAGTTAACCAACTGGGAAGAGAAACACCAGACGTTGATTTTCGATTGTACCTGAACATCCGTTCGTGTGGAGTAGTATTTGTGGCAGTACATAAAAGAGGACGGATAGAATGAAGAGCGTCGGGGAGAACAACCTCCCACTCACAGATTGGTATGGACCTAGATTTAGCAGCTAGTGATATACATCGCCAGAGAGTGCCGTTGAGACGTTCAATCTGTCCATTTGATTGGGGGTTGTATGCTGTTGTTCTACTGGTAACTATTCCTTTATCGTGGAGAAAATGTTTTAATTCTGCAGACATAAACGACGATCCTCTGTCTGAATGCATGTAGGATGGCATACCAAACAGGGAAAACAACTGGCACAGGCAATTAATAATAGTTGATGCTGTCATATCCTGGCAAGGAAAAGCGAACGGAAATCTAGAGTACTCATCAATTATCGTAAGAAGATATTTGTTCCGGGAGTTTGAAGGAAGAGGTCCTTTGAAATCAATATTTAGACGTTCAAAAGGAGAAGTCGCTTTAATAAGATTTCCTGTGGATACTTTGCAAAACCTGGGTTTCAGCTCAGCACAAACTGCACAACTAGATATCGTCCTCTTCACATCATCAACAGAAAAAGGTAGGTTCTTAGAACGCACAAAGTGAAGAAGGCGAACAACTCCTGGATGGCACAGAGAGTTATGTAGGTCTTTCAGATTAGTTTCACCCATGACAGAAGCAGAATATCCGCGAGATAATGCATCGGCGACTTTGTTTTCTTCGCCACAACGGTAGATTATATCAAAACTGTAACAAGAAAGTTCTATTCGCCAACGCTGAATCTTGTCATTCTTTATTTTCCCATGGTGGTTCATATCGTACATGAAAGAAACTGATCGTTGGTCTGTAATGAGTTGGAAATGAGTACCAAGTAAATAATGACGCCATTTTCTAATAGCTTCGACGATGGCATAAGCTTCTTTCTCCACCGCTGAGTGATGCCGTTCACTTGGTGATAGTGTTCTGGAAAAAAATGCAACGGGTCTACCATTTTGTGTTAACGTGGCAGCTATAGCAGTATCCGAAGCGTCGGTTTCAACTATAAGGGGCAAGTCGAGATCCACAGTAGTCATCACAGATTGAGCAAGTTCATTTTTTAATGCTGCATATGAGCTTACAATAGTACCTGGTAATGGAAAGATTTTATTTTGTATAAGGGGTTGAATTTTATCGGAGAAATGAGATATCCATTGTGAATAATACGCAAAGAGACCAATGACTCGCTGTTGGGATTTAAGATCTCGTGGAGGTGATAAATTCCATAATGCTTGAAGTCTATCGGGATCAGGTTTGATCATTTTATGAGAAACTTCATAGCCTAGAGGTTTTACTTGTTTAACGCCAATAACACTTTTATTCTCATTGAATGTTAGCCCATATTTCCTGGATGCTTCATAGAACCGGGCAAGATTTTTTGCATGTTGTTCTGTGTTTTCACCACAAATAGTTATATTATCTAAATAAGCAAATGTAGCTTGAAGATTTTCATTTCTGATAATCTGACTGATAACTCTCTGAAAACACGAAACACCGTTTGTGACACCAAAGGGAATACGACGGAACTGATAGAGGTTGCCGCAAGCTTCAAAAGCTGTGAAGAGTTTCTCTTCTTCTTTGATGGGTATTTGATGGTAAGCACTCTTTAAATCCAAAGTGCTAAGTACAGTATATTTTGAAATCTTTTCAATCATCTCATCAATTTTTGGGAGTGGATAGGCATCCAATAATGTGAAACGATTTATCGTTTGGCTGTAATCAATCACCATTCTACGCTTGTGGCGTTCATTAGTAGTGACCAAAACTTGGGCGCGCCAAGGGGAGTTAGATGGCTCGATGATCTGCTCACTGAGTAAATTTTCGATTTCCAGCTTGATGAAATGTTCATCTGAAGTGGAATGTCTTCGTGATTTTGTAGCGATCGGAACACATTTGGGTGTTAGGTTATGAAACAAGGGAGGTGGATCAATATGTGCAGCAACAAGATTACACAGTGAAAATGGATTGTTTTTACCTTCAAATGGAATTTCGAGTTTATTATGCAAGCGTAAAAAATCATGACCTAATAGCACATCAGCACACAGATTTGGCAACACTGAAAGTTTGATATGTGAGTAACTCGAGTCTTTATAACGTAGATTTACATAACAGTGACCATGAGTATGAGTTGTCAGACTTGTGGAAGCCATTGTGATTGAAGTGCGAGAATGCTCTACCTTTATATGTTGTTTTTGAACGACTGCACAAGAAATATAACTGTCTGAGCTCCCAGTATCTACGAGGGCTTGTAGGGGAATGTCATTTACAAAAAGCTGCACAACCGCATTGGAGAGAGACTGTGGAGCGGCGGCTAGAGTCATGGAAGACAACAAAGAACTAGTAACTGATGTAGTTTTGGTGTACGATTTTGACCGGCAGACCTTCTGATAATGTCCCTTCTTACCACAGAGTTTGCATACTGCATCCCTTGCAGGACATTTAGAGCGAGGATGTCTAGTAAATCCACAGAAGTAGCATTTCTCATTTATTGAAGCAGTCAATCCTGTTTCACCCACATAAGAGTTTAGTTCATTTGATGTATCACTGTTTGATATTGCAGCAGAATTGGAGAATTCGGAAGGATGAAACGAATGTGATTGTTGATAAGCCATTTCTAGGGATCGAGCTTGTTCATAAGCAGTATCAAGATCAAGTAATTTGTTTTCCAGAAGACGTTGTCGTATATTATTAGATTGCATTCCACTTATGAATGCGTCACGTATTGCATCATTCTGATTTTGTTCAGCCGAGACAGGTTTGAATGAACAATCTTTTGCCAGAGATTTCAGTTTTTGTAAAAATTGGTCGAGGCTCTGTCCAGTTTCTTGTTTGCATGTGGATAATATATGTCGAGCAAAAATCTCGTTCTTTGGTTTGACATACAGTTTCTCAAGAGTACTAAGAGCGCCGTCAAATGTTTTACATTCAGCAATGTATTCATATACAGTAGGTGAGATATAGTTGATGAGAACATCAAGTTTGTCTGAATCTGGAGTTGAAGATTTAGTGATAAAAGTATTGAATGTACGAAACCAATGATTCCAAATCTTCGAAGATGTTTGGCAATTGGGATCAGCATCAAAGCGTTCAGGACGTAATATCTTGTCCATAATAAAACGAATAAATTGTAGTGTTTATGAGTTAATCAAACATTCACCGATCAAGTGAGAATTTTCAGAGAGTTATCAGTCAGATTATCAGAAATGAAAATCTTCAAGCTACATTTGCTTATTTAGATAATATAACTATTTGTGGTGAAAACACAGAACAACATGCAAAAAATCTTGCCCGGTTCTATGAAGCATCCAGGAAATATGGGCTAACATTCAATGAGAATAAAAGTGTTATTGGCGTTAAACAAGTAAAACCTCTAGGCTATGAAGTTTCTCATAAAATGATCAAACCTGATCCCGATAGACTTCAAGCATTATGGAATTTATCACCTCCACGAGATCTTAAATCCCAACAGCGAGTCATTGGTCTCTTTGCGTATTATTCACAATGGATATCTCATTTCTCCGATAAAATTCAACCCCTTATACAAAATAAAATCTTTCCATTACCAGGTACTATTGTAAGCTCATATGCAGCATTAAAAAATGAACTTGCTCAATCTGTGATGACTACTGTGGATCTCGACATGCCCCTTATAGTTGAAACCGACGCTTCGGATACTGCTATAGCTGCCACGTTAACACAAAATGGTAGACCCGTTGCATTTTTTTCCAGAACACTATCACCAAGTGAACGGCATCACTCAGCGGTGGAGAAAGAAGCTTATGCCATCGTCGAAGCTATTAGAAAATGGCGTCATTATTTACTTGGTACTCATTTCCAACTCATTACAGACCAACGATCAGTTTCTTTCATGTACGATATGAACCACCATGGGAAAATAAAGAATGACAAGATTCAGCGTTGGCGAATAGAACTTTCTTGTTACAGTTTTGATATAATCTACCGTTGTGGCGAAGAAAACAAAGTCGCCGATGCATTATCTCGCGGATATTCTGCTTCTGTCATGGGTGAAACTAATCTGAAAGACCTACATAACTCTCTGTGCCATCCAGGAGTTGTTCGCCTTCTTCACTTTGTGCGTTCTAAGAACCTACCTTTTTCTGTTGATGATGTGAAGAGGACGATATCTAGTTGTGCAGTTTGTGCTGAGCTGAAACCCAGGTTTTGCAAAGTATCCACAGGAAATCTTATTAAAGCGACTTCTCCTTTTGAACGTCTAAATATTGATTTCAAAGGACCTCTTCCTTCAAACTCCCGGAACAAATATCTTCTTACGATAATTGATGAGTACTCTAGATTTCCGTTCGCTTTTCCTTGCCAGGATATGACAGCATCAACTATTATTAATTGCCTGTGCCAGTTGTTTTCCCTGTTTGGTATGCCATCCTACATGCATTCAGACAGAGGATCGTCGTTTATGTCTGCAGAATTAAAACATTTTCTCCACGATAAAGGAATAGTTACCAGTAGAACAACAGCATACAACCCCCAATCAAATGGACAGATTGAACGTCTCAACGGCACTCTCTGGCGATGTATATCACTAGCTGCTAAATCTAGGTCCATACCAATCTGTGAGTGGGAGGTTGTTCTCCCCGACGCTCTTCATTCTATCCGTCCTCTTTTATGTACTGCCACAAATACTACTCCACACGAACGGATGTTCAGGTACAATCGAAAATCAACGTCTGGTGTTTCTCTTCCCAGTTGGTTAACTATTCCTGGACCGGTCTTGATGCGCCGTAATGTACGTTCTAAATATGAATCTCCAGTTGATGAAGTTGAACTGATTGAATGTAATCCCAAGTATGCTCATGTGAGACTTCCAGATGGACGTGAGGAAACAGTATCTATTCATCATCTTGCACCAAAAGAACATATATTTCAATCGCCCGTTAGCATGCCGATTCCAGACGCAGTACCAGAATGCCTCCAAAATCAACTTACTGAAGACGACATATCCACCCGTTCTACAGATACTGAAACTCCTATTTTGACGGACAATTTAAGTGAAAATGTCAAAATTGATCCGAAACCATCTTCTTTACTAGAGAAACAACGAAGGGTTCGTCCATACAATCTGATAAGCCGCGAAGTCTAAACAATTTTAAAAGTCTTGACTCCTTATGCTCTGTATTCTCAAACAAAAGGGGAGAAGAATGTGGTGTGAACATTTTCATAAACGTTTAGCATTTATATTATACACTATTCACATCTTTCATTTTTGTTTAAACCAGATTCTATACTGGAATTATAAAACGAATAAAGCCTTTATTGCGGGCCCTCAATATTCTCACTTGATCGGTGAATGTTTGATTAACTCATAAACACTACAAGTACCTAGTCTGAAAGTAGACACAAGAAATAGCTATCTACCAGCTGTTGTTCAAGTATTGTAGAAAAATGTAAGCTTCCTAAACAGGATTACGAGAAGGATGGAAATCATTCACTATGATGCACATATAACGGGATTCAGATTTAACTACTAACTACCTCTTTTCTTTCTCTAAATCCTGTAGAATTTACTTCTCTGTACCTATTTATTGCATCTCCCTAAAGATTTCTTCCGGTACTTCTGAGCTGCTGGATGAAACAGTGTTGTTATCACTAAGGAAAAATGTGTAGAGACATGTTTTAGTTATGCCTTCTAAGGACACTAATCAACAACATGAGTGACTCGGCATATTAGACAAGCACATTACTTGACATAGAATGTAGGGCAGGTTCTGTATGTAGTAATTCTAGTTCCCTTGTTGATGCATGTTATCTACCCTCTTTTAATTAACCATTTCGATCTAGCATACTCTCTTGGGTCATTTCGTATTTGCTTTACTAAATAAGCAGTCATTTAAAGTTGGTTTCACAGGTGATATTGCCATAAAAAGACGTCATCTAAAAACTCTTCCTATTGGTGTCGACTGTAATTTTCCACTCTATGATCTACAGTTATTTACGGCTGATGAATTCGATTATCGGTCTGTTATATTTATGAAGCATTATGTGTCATTACTTACTTTACTTTACTTCGGCTATCTCCTACGGGAGGATGAGCCGGCTTCATGAACATCTCGAATAAAGAGAGTTCATGAAGTTTCATGGGAATTTGGTACGAGTGATGTCCCCAGAATCGCTCGGCCTTTTGTTTGAGAGTGCGGCTCTAGCCTTTACACAACCAAGTGTGACCTAGAAGGCAGTAGGAGTGGAGTAGGGAGTCCACTATCCATTGGCAGCCGGTGACCGGAGTTCGGTTCATACGCCTTTTTGAATGGGGCCAGACATCCAGGACATCCAACAAGCCCTTTGTCCATACGTCTGCCGGTGAGCTCCAGTGAGCTTCATACGCCAGTCGTTGGAGGTTTGGAATCAGGGTTTAGCCATCTCCCCTAGACTGTCATCCAATGGACAGTCAACCCGGTGAAGAGCGCCGGGCATCCGCTTTCGCCCTCTCACTTTGGTGAAAAACACCTCCGCCACGTGAAGGCAGTGAGTAGGACTTCCTCAGGAGAGGCTATGTAAGACGCCCGGTCATATGGGAGCATTTCGAGAGGTGTGCGGAGGGGTGGCCAGCCCGTAGCGCAAGGCACCCACCCCCGACCATCCTGAGGCTTTGGAGGCATTACTGTTACCAACTAAGTTGTGTTCAACACGTGTTATTGTTTAGTGAAATGTGATTGACTGCGAAGTTGTTATCGTTCCTAAAATAGAATCTCTATGCCGTTAAAGCTTGCTTATTTCAACTCTAATTTTGGGTAATATTCTTTTTAGAGTCAGAGCCCACAACTATATGCAAATCAGAAGATGATGATGCAAATCCTACGAAAAAGCGTCGCTCAAGATGGGACGATAAACGCGATGAGCCCGAAAAACCTGCTGTGACAAAAGACATTCCAGATGGTTCACTGGCTTCTGCGATTGCCCTCGCTAAAGCTGCTGCTGTTGCTGCTGCAAAATCCCAAGGTAAATTATGTAAGTACACTTACACTCCATAAAACTCAGCCAACTTATGTACTGTTCAACGATACACACTTATTGTGTACAAGGTAGCTATACTTTTTGATAGTATGGTTCACAGTAGGTAAAGTGAGGTTTCCATCTATGATCTACTAGTTGGATTATGATCACTTGGACGGACGAAATTCAGTTGTATCTATCCTTACACGGTACCGAGCATGCTCTCATTCAAGGTTCTGCTTCCTCTACCCTGAGTTGTTCAGACAATTTGAATGCATTCGAAGGATTTTAATGTAGTCATTCTCTTTTTTTCTGTTGCTTGCACGTACTACTACAACCAGATATCAACTCAAGCCAGATTCCAGGTTAGCTTTCAATGCTCCGGAAATTATAAACAAACTTTTTTCCGCTTACAAAATTCCATCAAAATGTTGAGTAAAGTCACTTGTGGCTTAGAGGAATCTCCCGCTAACAAGAGCTGGGTTTCTTTTAGTTCCATGCAAGTTCTAGATATCAGTTCTGACAGAAAGTGAGCATGGTGATCGTACACTTGAAATGTAACAGTGGTTAATCAAAGATCATGAAGCCTGGTGAATGAAACGTGCTTGTCGAATAGAAGCAATGTTGCATCTGAAAACCTTCAAAATATGTCAGTGTTGAATATTTTAAGTCACTTATGCTTGAATTGTTAATATAGATCCATCTAACAAAACAGATCTACGAAAATACTTAAGCTATATGAAGCACCTGGTGTAAGCAACTTAGCTATGGTTGCTTTCAAAGGTAGTGGTGAGTTTATAGTTAGAGAGTTAACTAGATTGTTTGGTAAGGTTTGGGTGATTGAGGATCCCACTATTGCACCTATCTTTAAATATGACTTACTTGATCTATGTGACAGTCGTAAGGATATAAGTTTGTTACTAAGTGTGTCTGCTGGCTTCTGTCGTGCTTCTCAGAATTCGTACATCGTTTTAAAAACTAACTTTTAAGAAGCAGTCTGAGTTCTTTGCATATTGTGGTGCATTGATCCTCCTGCTATTGTAAGAAATACCACAGGTATTGCGGGTCAGCACTTGCTGCATTTCTTGATATCAAAGCTAACTTCAGTTCGTTGGATGGAAATGTGGTGTGTTGATAAAAGGTTTATACAACGGGGAGTATAAAACCACCTATCATATTGACCGGTGTGCTTTGGAAGTCGGTGACTGAGAAAACTCATGAAAACTAACCACTAATTTTTTACTATTCTTGTGGTAGCAGTCTATAAACCTTTAGGGCGACCGACTCGTGTTTGCATCGTAATATTTCTATGGCGTCGAATTCCTATCCAAACGAGTCGTCAGTAAGAAGATAAACAAACACTACTTTTCATTGATTTAAGTTGCCACATCTCACATCCATCAATAAATGAAAAGGTAATGAAAAGGGAGACAGATAACCAAAAGTTAGGGGACTAAAGGTAAGGTAAATAAGTGAATGTAATACTAAAGTTAAGGTGAAAACAGAGTGTGAATGAATCTGCACAATTGCAATAGGCTCTGAAGCATAAAATCAGGATATTCTAAGCATAGGTTCCTATGATCACGATGACGCTAGCCACCTAATTCACATTGCAGTAAACAACTCAGATCAACAGTTAGTAACCTTGTGGTGAGAGCTGTCTGCTAGCCAAAATTGGTAGACAGCAATTTACGTCAATGTTTACGTCCCAAATCTTGGTCATTAGAAAAAGCAAGAACAAAGCCTAACCTTGAGGAACTCAACAACCAATCACATCAAACTTAGTGTGAGCGGACACGATTCGTAGATATATCACCTAACTGTCTAAGAATCGGCAACAAAGGGATGACAGAATAACCTTCAGCAGGAAAACAACCAATCAGAAGACGTTACTTCTCTGCTAACAATACCGAATAATAATAAACATAAAAATCTATAAGTAACTGTTGATTTCCTAAGTAAACGATCTGTCACCTGGCCCTTGTCTTCTGTCGTTACAACATTATGGATTGGTGTCATGTCTTGACCTGAATATCTTTTACTTCTATTCTAATCCTACTTACGTTAACTGTAGTAGTAGTTGTTGTTGTTGGAGTAGACGATGGGGAACCCATGTAACTCTCATCTCGTCGGCTTCAGAGGATGGGGATGGATATTTTACTCGACTGACTTACCTATTTAACCTAGTCCTCTATGCCTAACTTTCATAAAGCTTACCTCGTAGTTCCATCATACACGTGAAATACTACAAACTTTTTAATTCTTGGTGAATTCCCGTCGGGACGTGCAGAAAATCAATACATATATATATATTTGTTTCGTAAGAAATTACATGCCTTGAGGAAATTAAATTTAAACAAAGGTGCGAATACATAAAATAATAATAGTATGAAGTGCAATTAAAATGTTTTTGTTTATGATCATAGTTAAATATCAAATGCCAAAACAAATAATGTCAAAGATAGAATAGCTGATGGGACGTATATATGTTGAAAGGGCGTATAACATTATAGGAATAGTAGGCAAATAAAAATGTGGGATTTAGTAACATAGAATTTAACTTTACAAGAAAAGTTATGAGTTAGAATGACATATGAAATAATTTCTGGAAACAGTTTAAAGCGAGTATAATAGTATTAACAATCGACATTATAGGGGAAGGATATACAAATTGAATAAACAAAACAAAAAATATGTAGCGCCAAAGTATGAATGAGGTTAATTATACTCTAGCATAGGAGGATGAAGACCATGAAAGTTGGAGGAGTTGAGCAAACTTCTTTTCTGTATAACTCTACCACAGTGCCTAAGTTCTTTTCTGTATACAGATATCTGACCTGTTTTATTTCGATGGCCAAAGCTTCAGCAATACAGATGAGTCAGATACGTAGAGATTAGGATAAGTTATTTTCCACCTTGTAGATAACTATAAATGAAGAGGCGGTAGAGATAAAAGGTGACCACTATCGACCAGATGTTCTAATATTACGCTTCTTAAAACCCCACTTCCATTTAAATTGCATTTCATGCTATTATTTTATATATTCACACCTTTGTTTCAATACTACGAAGGCAACATTGTTGGTCTTGCCATATGTTTTATTTTATTTTTTTTGCAACCACCTGAGGTAAACCTTATTCAGAATGTGCCTGAAAAATATTCCGACTTATTGTTCTTTGTTTTTTGCTTTTCATATATTTTCTTTACTCATTGATTATATTGGTATTTTTTGTTATACTTAGCAGCAACATCTTCTACTCCCAATCCAAATCAGTTTACTGGTGGTGTTGTCCTTACACCTGAGCAAGCTGAACAGATCCGATATCAGAAAGAGGTTTGTCGTGTGATATAATATGCCTGTTAAAACTTTTCTTGGTGGGATTGATTGTAGTATCCGTAATTGCGGATGTATGAGCTATTTTTTATCTCGTAACAGTGCTGTGCTATGTCGTTACCGTATGATGCTTAGATGTTATATATTCGTGTTTCTTTTGTTTCTTGTTATTCATGGGATTTATTGAACCACCTTTATTTCATTTTGTAATCTGGGAGTATCCATTATAAAAGTAGGCTGGTTTTCGTGTCCTCCTTTACTTCAAGTATACTCCATTCCCTAAAGTGTAATGTAGTGGCGTGGTACTCATGCGTGTACCGAATTTATAAACCGATAAAAGTTGTTTGAGAACTTATCATAAAACTCGGCTTACCGTGCTCAAACTAGCTGTGTTGATTTTTAACACGATGCACACTCCTCAAAAGTTAAGATCATGTACCATTAAGCCACACGAAAGTAACACCTGCTAAAAATTCCAATAAGTAAGGCTTGTGTTGGAGATTATGAAAAGATACCGACAGATATCTCGTTCTGTCCGGTTGGACAGCATACAAGTAAGGATTTTTCCATCCTAGCATTCAATGGAAGTCCTAGCGAGCTAGCCGAAAAATCTCCTGACTTCACTCGTAAAGTGAGTTTTTCAGATTCACCCTTTCAGTCAGTTGGGGTTAAGTAAATAACTTCACTTGGGCCTCGTATACGTATCTCCGAAACATAACATACAACCATAGCTGGAGATACCAGAGTTTTGACCCTTGGAGCCTGTTTTCCGATTTGGCGAAGGGTCTTCATGTTAAATGCTCCAATATAAAGTTGACAGTGTGGTTTTAAGAGACTGTCAATAGTGTTTTTCTGGCTCTCATCTCAGCTAATGGCCATAGAGTTAATAGAAAGCGAGGGAAAGCAACGGAATGATACTGATGAAGATAAAAAAGTTGATGGGGATCAGGAAAGCTTTGTGTGTTTATAGAAATGTGTGTGGTTATTATTTCCCGCCTGCCGACGCCGCGGAATTTGATTTCTTCTTGAAACCCCTAGAACAGAAGGAGCGTTAGTGTTGCGCGACCACAGAGTCAGGGGGACAACTACTTGAGGCCGGCCATAGACGACCTGTTTGAAGTGGTTTTTGCAGTTGTGTTCGTATTACAGCCGGTTACGAACCTTGGTTCCCAACCTACCTCTGTGTTTTTCAAGAAGAAAATGAAGGAGAAATGTCGTAGAGGAATAAGTCTTCAGACAGAATGAAGTTGCATTGTACGACCTATTGTCAGTGGATATTTACTTAAAGATTCCATACAAGGATTACATATTTTCAAAGAAATTATGCTGACAATTCTGTATTGTGTTTGAGCATAATTTCTAGAATAGAACTGATATTGTTATTATTATTATTGTTATTCTGGAGGCACTAAGTTTTTGAGATGCGTCACTTATTATGATCGAAATACCTGATTGTGGCGTTTAACAATGCCAAGTCCTGTTTCACCTCTATTTCTTTATCTGATTCCTTTATATAGTGTTTATATACTGTTGTTTGGTTGGCACATCTAATCTAAAGATTCATATTCCGTTCATTTTATAATTGAATATGTGAGTAATCATTGCTTCTCATTGTTTTACCTTCTTTTAGCTCCAAGCTATGCAGGAGTTCATCTTAGCACAAAAACGATCAAAGACTAAAGAAGAAGAACTTATGGCTCGTATAGCTGGTGTCAACTATGGAAACAAAAAAAGAGTTACTAAAGATGGTTTAGTTATTAAGTATGAATATGATTCGGATGAAGATTGTGAAGGTGGAACATGGGAGCATAAATTAAGAGAAGCAGAAATGGAAGCAACCAGAGGTATAATATATACTTGTATATTTTAAAAAATAACTTTTTATGGTTTTGATTTTATTTTTCTGAGTATTTTAAGTTAACGAATTAGATTATTAGCCACACTTCCTTAGATGGTCTTAGTTTGGCTGATTAACGGGTGTAATGGGGGATGGTTAGTCGTTGATTTTGAAGCAAACATCTAAGTGACTGAAGGATTCATTCCAGTGATCTTTGGATCACTCTCCCAGGACTCCATCAACGCAACTCAGCCATCAGTTAAGTTTTTACGTCTTGTATCAATTACAGAAGGCTGTGAAAAGCTGCAATTGGTGGAAAAGTGACTCTTGCTGTTGTCAGTGTTCTCATGTGAACTTAAAACTTCAATATTATTCAACAACTGGATACAACTTCTCACGTTAATAAGCTACACTTATTGTGCAAGCGCTCATAATGCTACTTGGTTGTTCAAGTCTCGGTAAACAAGACTAAATTCTACACCATGAGTCAGTGGTTAACACTCAGCAGTGTAAAACCAACCAACGGGAACTCAACAACAACCATCAGTCTACTCATATATTAAGATGGGAAATAAGATATTATCATAGTGAAATAAATAACTTGTTAGAATGTTATAAAGTGAATTGAATACATTTTAACATTATTTATCATCCTCCTCTGATTTGACTGGTGGTAATAATATCTTCCATATCTCTGGTATTTGCGTTGAGTCATTTCCGTTGTATGTGTTGGGTGTAGACTCGATGAACCAGGATTCAATAATCAGTCTCCATCTCCACCTACCTATATTACTTTTTAGAATTTTGACTCTGTCCCATCCACCCTATTGGGTGGTTGTGTGTTAATGCATGCAGTGCAATTGCTGAGTTTTTTCTCTCTAAATTACTTATCTTCGTGGGTACAATCATTCTAACCTTAGCTAAATTCTTATGTCATCAGTAAATATTACTGTATAACACTGTGATTTTATCAAAATAAAATTTTATCCATAAGGGACATTCTTTACCTTTTAACATTTTTTTTGGAAAGATAACTGTTGAAATTAGTGAGAACTTTGGAAATGTAGCCAAGTTATGTAGCTTCCTTGAGTGATGAATGACTTATCAACGTAGAAATTAGCACAAAAGTACAACGGTTTAAGGTGTCACACTTCTCATAAGCATACATAAAAATGGATGGAGAAGAAAATTAGTAAATGAAAATTAGGGGGGAATCTTCAGAATATGGCGGACGAGCAGGAATAAATACATCTGCTCTATTGCAAGTGATTTTGAGGCATGTCATTAACAGTCTCAAATCGTAGGTTCCTAGCATCTCTGGTACAACACCCGGGCGGTGTATAACCGTCTACGTAGCTCAAATGAACAGTCAAATATTTCATTTGTCGGTGTCATGTTTATCTCTATCCATCTTTAACTCTTTTTTAGCCTAGTCTTCTATAACAGTTAACACTGCTTTTTGGAGAAGGCTGTAGTTTGGAATGCGCAACACATGTCCTAACTATTTCGGTTAATGGAGCCCATTGACTGAATTTCTCTCCCTATCTTACACTTCTGTCCTCACTATTACTGGTATTATTGTGGTACATAACATGATTGATCGGACTGGTGTGTCTGTGGTCAAAAACCGACACATCTTCCTTGTTCACTGTCTCTGCATCGTACGCGCATCTTTTGATGGATTGGTAGGTGGATATCACGCCAGCGCCAAAGGTTACTGAAGCTGGAAAATCCTAGACAGGTTTCTATATTTATGGTGAGATTACGTCGGAAATCAGACCACTAGGTCTGCTGCAATTCCCCAAATAAGTGAATTGGTTTCAACATTCACTCGTTTCACTCTCTATTCTTAAACTAGGAATGGTGCAGACTAGTTGTGCGCATTGTCTTACGCCTAACACAGGCTTCCCTACCTGAATGTATCATGATGTACTGTTGATAGTTTTCGTGCTGTGAATATTAAGTGTACCAATGTTCTCAATGTGTACTAAAAGGGTTATCAGTTTATGTATTACATTTACCAGCATTGTACTTTGATCAAAGGCAGTAAATGTAGTACATATGTCGTCGTGTTGTTTTGATTGTTTGAAAACTTATTTGCCTACATAATTATTTCTTCAGACTAATTTACAAATTATTAGTTTATTTTCAAAATATTTTCATGTTGGAACGGTTGTTTTATTTCCTTTAAAATGTCTATAATTCGGTAACTATCTGAAATACATTTTATATTGTCTATAGAATGGGCTCAGAAACTGACTGAAATGGGTCGTGGAAAGCATCATATTGGAGATTTCCTACCGCCAGACGAACTCGAGCGCTTTATGGAAACTTTCCGTGTGAGTTTTATGAATTGTTTGTGTCGTTTTTATCGTTACTGATATATTTTCGAAGGAAATGCAGCTACTGTGGTATTTTCTCTCTGCTTCGACGTTTGTTGATATGGCATTGCCTAAAAATGCTGAGAATTCCATTCTGTATCACAAGTACTGTTTTGGAATAAAGCAAATTATTATTATTATTATTGAAAAAAAGTTTGGAACTTTCACTTTCTTGGATTTTCTGTATAAAATTGCTTTGTACATAATAATGAAATTTTTAAAGTATTAGTCAAAGTTCCTTTATAAGTTGGTGTATGGGTGCTGGTAGATGTCATAGCAAATGAGGTTTCCAATCATACATGCATCGTCTGGGTGACGTACTCAAGCTGAAGTAATCTTTGTTACTGTCTTGATTGTAGTCTAACTTGAAAATCTGTCTGCGCTATTACGCTCTTACTTCTATGGGCACCAGTTTTCATGTGTTTCCATACAGTGGTGACTGTCAACTGCGTTTCGGCATAATGCATTTCATATTCAATTGGTAGTTTTTATGGTAATACTCTTGAGATGTTCCGATAGCTTTTATGCATAATATTGCCCGTTGTTCGTGAGTGTGTGTATAAAAGAAAAAGTAGGGGGTACTTGTAGTGTGATCGCTTTAAATGGACAATAATTGTATTCAGCTGGCATTTCTTTGGTGTTTCACAACTCAAAGATATGCTTGAGATGTGTCGGCAAGCGTTGTTGTGAAATGTGCACGGTCAAGTGTTTAGACTCTGCGATCACCAAATTAATTCCATCTTCCTACTAAGTTACAAATCTCACGTATTATATTTCACAACGAATGATTATCACCGTTTAATTTTCCTATTTTCAAAATGCACATAGGAATCCTCATGCGACATTCATAAAATAAATGATCACTTAATTTCATATGAAATTTATATGTAAGAGTTCAGGCATGAGGAGAATCAAACTATTTTCGTAACTGCGAAGTATAATGACTTCAACAGTCTTGTTTATCCTTTCTACAAGAGAAACCGGAGAATTTTCCTGAGTATTTCTTTGGATTACAGCAGCGAACAATTACTAACGTTTTAAGAAACAGATGACCCTAATTATCTATAGATTTAACTCTTGTAAACATTTTCACATTTTGTTGGATTGTTTGTTTGCTGTGCCATTTTTTTTCATAACTTCCGGTGTATATACGTTGTAGTTCAGAGTCATTTTGTTGATCTTATTGAGGGGAGGCGCGCTTTGTATAAGCTGTTTCTTCTTTGGCATTTTTGGATGAAAACTCTTGTTAAATAGCGTTGTGAAAGGTCAGTCATTTCTGCAGTGTTCCAGAAAATCCAGAGAAATTTGTTCATAATCTGTCGAACCCTAGAACTAGATAAAATTGAATTAGAAGCACTGTCACTTGATTTTAAATTTCATATTCCAAAAACAGTATGATAGAATCAATTCAGAAACCTACAAAGTCAGTTAGCCGAGTTAAAACCAGTACATGAATTAGCGGGAGGTTGATGAAGATCCAGACTTTTAGGTATTGTCAATCAATAATACATACATTCGCCAGTTGCAGAATCCAAAATCCTATCTTTAAGAACATCAGTCAACTTTGAAGAATCTAATGAACAATGTGGCTGTTAGGATACTGCTACCAGACAAAGGTTGTAGAGTTGTTGTAATAAATAAAAATGACGATTATGCAAGTACAGTCTAGTTAAGTTTAGGAGATTCATCAAAATTTATATTGGACAGTATAAACAAGAATATGATTGGATTCACAGAGAAGCGAATTGCAAAGAAACTGAGGGAACTTCTGAAGGAGAAACAAGTAGACAATTCAACTTATAATGATCTCAGACCACGAGGTTTACGCCTACCACTTATGTTTAGTTTACCTAAAATGTATTAACCTAATATTCCAATGAGACCCATATTATTTTATAGTTAAATCGCCTTACCATAAGCTTACTAAATGGTTGATTACAAGTTAGAACCAGTTCGTAAAAATCTGACAATAGATCGTTTGAATGACAGCTTTGAATTTTCTAAGAAGTTGGAAAGTCCAAACATCGCCAACAAATTCATACTATCACTTGATGTGTCTTCTATTTGGAACAAACTTCAAAAATTATACACCAACATTTCGACTTGTCGAGCACCTCAATACGATTGCATTATTCCCCTATTTCGATATTTTTGGATAATAATTGTGTTAGACATTCTCATGTGTGTGTGTGTGACTGTAATGTGTGGTTATTTTTTGTTGAGGTAGTATTGCTGATCCCTTTTGATGGCTTTGCTACAAACAGTTTAGGACATGCATATCAATCCTCGATAGTTCACCGTGACAGTTAATGTAAATTGTTGGCGATATGAGCTTTCCACAACTTTATCGTATTTAAATGGTATCATTTAAGGGAAATTGAATATATGGGGTAAACATTTTATCATTTCTGTTAGCTCCTCAAACTTTATAGAGTTCTTCGCTATATTCCAACTCTTCTATATGAAACCTTCCTAACTGTTAGCTTGTTGATGATTGGTTTTCACTACATCGGGAACACTACGTAGGATAGTATTTATAAGTAGCTATTTTGACAATCAGTCTACTGATATTTGCATAAATTGTAATAAATGATTGCCAATTTAATCAATTTTACAGGATTTTCATCATGAGCTGACATTAGTTAGAGAACCATTGGAAAAACTGGGAATAATGGACAGCTGTTTCGTTCTAGTTTGGAACCCTTCAACAGTACGCACCCACCGGGATTCGAACCCAGGACCTGCTGGTTATAAGGCGAGCTCGTATACCATTAAGCCACTGGGACCCGATCCAATGGCCCATGAATTCTAACTTCTGCCGATTCACGACATAGCGCCACCTCTAGCCAATGTCTTCGGCGAGTATTTGTCCTCACACCCTACCTGCTGCACCCTACTGGTCACGACTTCTCACTAGAACCCCAGGTAACTACCTACCTGAATAGGGCAAGTCGCTAGTGAGCATCAACTAATCATTAATCAATTCTGATTGAATTTCTGTTATTCACTTAATTCTGAGCTTTTAAATCAATGGCTGTCCAAGTTCGCCATTTATTTAAAGAATCCTTTATGTATTTTAGATTTTAGAGCTTGCTTACTCTTTCATATTTCAGAAATCAAATTAATGCATTCTTTTACTAATACCTAATATATATTTTTTCTCACATCTAGGCATTAAAGGAAGGTCGTGAACCAGACTATTCTGAGTATAAACAATTCAAGTTAACTTGTGAAAATGTTGGTTTTCAAATGTTAGAGAAAATGGGTTGGAAAGAAGGCGAAGGGCTTGGAGTCGATGGTCAGGGTATTGTTAATCCAGTCGACAAGTAAGCGCATTATCTTTAGATTTCTGTTAATTGAACTTTTCCAATGATTTTTACTCAAATATTTTTTGTTTGTTTATTTCTTTTTGTAAAGGGGAAATGTTTTCGTTGAAGGTGTTGGCTTAGGCATTGATCGTCCGTCTAAACTTGTCAAGGAAGATGATGAATATGATGCCTATCGAAAGCGTATGATGCTGGCGTATCGATTTCGTCCAAACCCTTTGGTAAGTGAACTGAAATAAACAGAGTATTCTTCTAGGAATTATCCCTCATTCTACTTATCACTTTTGAATAGTAACATTTTGTTCTCAATCCTTTGTTATATTATCTCCTTATTCGTTAAATGTACAGGACTACAGAGCTTTAGTTAGGTGAAAACGATGGAATTTTAAATTAACTGTATATCGAAACCCTACTAACTTTTCTGTAGTAACTTATATATCGTCATTTTTTTATTCCTTGACGTCCGAGTGGGACATATGGTTTCAGGTTTTGAAGTTTCAGTAGCGGGTGATGTTGTTTTTACAGGGTGAGTTTGCTAGCCTCATCCCCAACACGCCGTCATTTTTGAGCCCTCTTCTGACTAGGCGAGGTTTAGGAGTATGTCAGCCGGGAGTCGAACCTTGACCTCCCGCTTGGCTAGTGTGCATCCATTCTAACACTGAATCATCGACGTATATTTCTTATGATGACAGAATAGATTTTCTGTAGATTTGTTGACAGTCGCTGGTTCTATCACTATGTGTATGCATGGCGTACTTTTCAAACAACTAATTATGTTGGTCAGCGAACTGATATTAGGTGATTTCAGGTGTAATGCGATCCACAACATTTATTTTAAGCCAGTCACGTGGGAGGTGTAGACTTCCTGGTTGGGGTCCTCGGGACGGTAAAAACCAGTGATGGGTCGTAGAAAATTGGTGATATGGCTCAAAATCGTCCTCAGTAACTGGCGCAGATGCCTTCACTCTTTGTGATTTATAATACCCAATAAAATTCTATTGTTCTTCCATGTTACTATTCTTTTTGCCTCATATTTCTGTCTATTATCTCTGCTTTGAATCTCTCTTTACTCTTTTCTCTTGCTTTGTGTGGTACATGGAGGGAGTGTGGCAACTCGAACTGGGCACATCTGTACAAAGTTGAAACCGGTTAGTCAGTCAGATTGTAGGTGTATTTGTACCTTATTTGGCAGTGAATATCTGGTTGATAAATATGCACTAAGATCAGAAACCATCTTAACGTTTGCAACTTTGTTTTGCGTCGTCTAGTTTTGAACCTAACAAAACTATAGATAATATGAATTTTCTTCAGGGCAAGCAAAGTTGTCATCTTCCAGTGTCAGTTTGGCCCAAAATACAATTTAAATGTTTTTGTCATCGTGCTGAACTCAGAAAGATATCCTAGTTGTTGTTTTCCTTCTCTCTTTAGGTCGTGGATAGACGCATTCATGAGTCAGTGTTTAGTCTTCCTCTCAATACTTGCTCTTCACACCTTCACCGAATCCCTTTCACTCGGTGTCTGGAATTAGTTTAACCTTGGAAAAGGTGTTTATCTGAACACACTAGCAGCAAGCAGTTGTTATTATTGATTCGCCGAGTTGAAACTCCAAAAGTACTTTCTGCCTACCTTCCTATTTAAGCACTGAAATTTACTCATACGACTAGAACTTAGAATGTTTGGTACTTTTTGCTGTAGATCAGACATTTTACGTTAGGAATTATCCTTTAAAACTTTCTAACCAGTCAGTGTGTGTTTGTGTATGCGTGTGCGTTTAGTCAAAGATTAGTAAAGGTGAGAATGGACCGCTTTTGTTCTTACTTTTGACAACATCATTTGCTCGGATAGTGTAAATGTGCGACTGTCAATTTACATCCACTTGAGCAGGATACTTGATACCCTAGGATCCAATGCTACACGTACAAATAGTAGGTTGAAAGAAGTAACATTTTAGAGTGTTGACCCAGTGTTTTTTTTAATTGGTAATAAGTTATTGGAATGTTTCAAAAATATGTAATATGGTTTTGTTTTTTCTGATTCATTTTAGAATAATCCACGGCGGGACTATTATTAACATCAATATATATATATTATCGTTACACTGTTAGTATTCCTTGTATTTATTACCCTGTGAGAAAGAAACACTGGCAATGAGATAAATTTTATCAATCTGTGATTTGGAAGTATGAACGTATGGAAGTATTTTCCCCGCAATACTTATTTACATCGTTCTGTGAAACTATGTACTTTTAAGCATACTGGGCTTCCACAAATACATCTGTACATGTAAAAAAGTTAACTATCAAATGATGAAATAAAACACGTTTTTCTAATCTATTCCACTTGTTTTTGCTATCTTTGTTGCTTGAAATTATGTAGAATAATTGTTCATACGTATTTTAAAAACCAAATTACTGTATAAAGTTTGGTGTGTATTTTATCCTTTTTTAATTTTTACTTTGGAATTAATATTTCTGAAACATTGTTACGTTATAAAGGAGGAGATTTGTAGCTCTAGTAGATGGTATTGGTTTAGTTGTGTTCTGAGAGCTGGATAGTTTAGGTACCCAATAAAAACAACAACACATCTCTATGTCACCCTGTTCCCTGCAGTTCACTTTCGTTGGCTCCACGATTGTCTATAAACTCTGGTCTTCTGATCGCAAGATCTCCTTCAGATTAATCTCGTATATCCAACTCGTCGCTTCCTATTCGGGTTCCATTCAGGGGCTTAGCGCATGATGCCACTCAACGGTCTCAATAGTGTATTTGTAATCCACCTCGACTTTTCTTTCGGAATATTTGTTGAGCGATATGTTCTCACTTGATTTGTTTCCAGAATTCCTTCTTGCTTATCATCCTGATCCTGTTTTTTATGCTAAGTACAGTAGATTTCCACATTGATTTGAGAATAATAAAGGTCTGTCTTACTGTTCTGATCCTGCCTTTAATATATTTATCTGTGCCACTACCCGTCGGTGAAACAATACTGCCTAGATAAGTGGAAGAGGTGACTCCCTTTAGATTTTTGTGGATGGTGATTGGTGCTTGTTGTTGTTGGTTAGTTATCTCCATCACTTCTGTCACGTCTGTGTTTCCTTGAGGTGCTGTCTTCACTGCCTTGTTGGTCTTCGCCTTCGATCTTTGAGGTTTTGTGATATTAGATATGGGAAGAGAGTCCACGTTGGTTCACTTCTTTCGAATTTTCACATGTTCCTGATTCTTTGTTAGAAACATTAGTGTTGTCAATATCAATTATTCTTTAATCAGACGGGTAGTTAATTGTAGGACTTGTAGAATAATCACTGTTTTAAAATTTATTTTTGTTAAGTGAACGCATATGTAAGCTTAATGATTGCACTTAATAAAGACAAAATATTATCTTATTGTCTATTAGATGTAAGATTATATGTTTACCTCTCTCTCCGTCTCCCTCTTTGCCTTTGTATTGCAAGCGGATATCTGTTCTCCAATTTCTGGCATTCACATTCGAGTAATGGTAGGTTCCGGAGAAAATAGCTTTATACACCTATTCCCTTTTCTCCCGACCGATAACCGCTACCTCGCAATGACCCAACAAGCTACACTGGCTGGAACTATTGTTCCTTCAGGTCCTACCATGCCAGGAAGATTGTTAGGATAGCGATTAAACTAAAAGCAGTTACCCGCACGGTGTAAGAATTTTTTACACTATGCTGGGGGTCTGTGGGCAAAGTCTTACTGCTGGGAGATAGGCGCGTAACAGCAGTGAAGTGTTTCCCTCAGATGACCAGCATGCTAGCCAACTATGCTGTCTCTCCACTCTGGAGAGAGGGAGTTAGAGAAGGTCGACCACAAAAATTGTACATCCCAACTTACCCTACGGTGATCCGTGGCCGGCGGTATGTTACTAACACGGAAGCCAAACCCAAAAGCCAGCTCAAACAGGTCGTGTGTGACTGGCCTCAAGCAGTTGTCCCCTGAGTTCTGCTCTGCGGTCACGCAACACTAACCCTCTTTCTGTTTCAGGTCGCCCAAGAAAAAGTCAACTTCCAAGGTGTGGGCAGCCGGGAAGCAACAACCACCCACACACTTCCAAATGCACACAAAGCCCTCCTGAGCATCATTCTCTTTTTTTATTCCCTTTTCTAAATATGAATAAAGCAAAAATAGTTTTCTTACTTTTCCTGTGGTGGATTGAAAGTGTCGTTTACTACACCGCTCAAATAAATGTGTTCGTTCTAATAACAGAACTAGTCATTTTCACTTTCGTTCTGTATCTGTGGAAAATCTTAGTTTCACATATTTTTAACCAAAAGCTATATAGGCCGTATGAAAGTGCCTTATGATCATTTATCTAATGAAAAGGTTGATATATCATCAATCAACCTCATTCAGGATGTGTAAGACAATTCAATTGTGTTTGGACAAGAAACATATTATGATAGAATTAGAGTAGACTATAGTGTGTACTTCTAGAATTTCTTCAAACCAATCATAATCACATAACTCCTAAAGAATTTTAGTGTTACAGAGGACTGAAGAGAGAATCAATTTCCTTCATCATATTCATCAGTGCGTCGGTGGCATAGCGGTTAGGATGCTCGCCGACCGTGTACATGGTCCGGGATTCGATCCTCGGCCGGCGCACTCCTTTACCTCGCTAAGCCAGAACTAAAGCTGGTGAAGACGAAAGGTTGAGCATGAGGCTAGCAACCCCATCCTGTAAAAATAAACACTGCTACAGAAACTTCAAGCCTCTAGCTTGAAGCCCTATGTTCCACTGGGAACTTGAAGGAATAAAAAAAATATTCATCAGTAAGCAATATAGAAATTGACTTGAACACCCTGATTACCTACCAGTGATTAATTTCTGGATTGATTTCTTGAAGTTCTAATGAAGTCCACCAAGTTAGGTGTGAAAACAATTGGTCACCGTTGACACTCTTTGGTCATTGAATTTCCAATTGCTGACTGACTGGTGATACACTCATCTTTACAACCGAAAGGTTTGAGGCTTGATTCTTTCCAGCGTCATGATTGTCTAAAATGAAGAAGGGGTCCAATAAATACCCACTGGTTTTCCATTGTTTGTTTCAGCTGATATGGGTTTCTGATGCAAACAATGTACCTATAAGTCTAACAGCTGAAATTTTAATAATCCAAACTTACTAAATCTAAGTATATCTGATTAGCGTTGAAAAGGAAGCTGGAAGTGCATAATGAATTTTTCGCTGTCCTTCTGGTTGATGGATATTTTATCATATGGGGATAAAGATTGATTTTATGAGGAACTTTGCTTCACAGAGATGAATTAGTTGGAAAATATTCGCTTATCATTCACATCATGTCCATTTATTACTTGTTTAGCCGTAAATTTAGACACCCAGAAAGGTGGTTTCCTATTCTGAGAGAGGGTTGATATACTGATTTGATGCCGAGGCAGATAATTGTGTTAGTCAGCAACTCATAATCTAATCAAAGAAAAGTCCATTTGTATTCTCGTGGTGTTGCCGCTGACCAAAACACGTTTATATGCAATTGTTCTACTTTGGATCCCACAGTCCATATATAGCACTGTTTTGAAAATTCACTGTACCAACTCATCCAGCGTAAACCCTCTATTTTTACCAGAGTGGTAATGAATGGCAGACGTTCTTGCTTTACTTTTATGTGAACACTTTTCTTTGGGAAGATAGTGAATAGGACATAGTCGTCAGAAACTGCGAATCTCTATGTGAGAACATTTCGAGGAAGGACCTAGTACGGCCAAGGGTGGGTAGACCTCGATCTTCCTCTCGAAATGCTTTTATGTAGCCACACTCTTATAGCCTCTTCCAGGTTGTTCCTATTCACTGCCTTCATGCGGCGAGGGAGTTCCTCACAAAAGTGAAAGGGCAAATTTGAACGTCTGGCGTTTATAACCGAACTGTTGGACGTATGGATATATATAGAGGACCTAGAAAACTGTGGTTCCGAACTGTAGTGAAATTGGGCTCCATAATGCGAATTGATCAGATGGCGTATCAGCCTGTTTTGGTCACCAGCAACCATGGGAACGCTGCTCCATTGCCTTGTGGACCAAAATTCAAGTCACGAGGTGGTCTCTTAAGGCAACCATCTTCTTCAGTCTGGGCGCCCGGATAGTATCCTGGTCCCACAAAAACTAACAGTTTTTGTGTGGCACATCTGATTAGTAATTGGATCTTGTTGCTGAGTTAATTGAGTGCATTATCTTTAATCCTGATATTGATTTTTTCACAATTCAGATTTTACTGATATTTCAGACATTATCTCCGTCACTATATTATTATTATTCCCTTGGGTTCCTAGTGGAACATAGGGCTTCAACTGCACTTCTGCACTTGCTTCTGTCTTCTGCTGTGCTTTTCACTTGCATCCATGTTATTCCATACTGTTTCAACTCCTCTTCACATGACCTCCATGTCACCCTTGGACGTCCCACTCGCCGCTTCCCTTTCAGGTTCCACTCGAGCTATGGCCTGATGCCCGATGTCACCCGGCGGCCTCCTCAGTGAGTGTCCAATCCATCTCCACTTTCTCCGGCATATTTGTTGGCCGATTGGTTCTTGTTTTGTTCGTTCCCATAGTTTCTTGTTGTTAATCCTTCCGGCCGCCCATCTGATCTTCAGTATAGAGCGAAGACAGTTGTTGATAAAGGTCTGCAACAGGCTGTTGGAAATATTCTTTGTGACCCTCCAAGTTTCTGATCCGTATAGAAGAACTGACTTGTCCGTCACTATATACTCATATTATATTATGTATTGCTTTCTGTGCAATAGGCTTTATGTAAGTGGGAGGCAAGCAATACTTTTGTTTGGATTAATGCAGATTTTATTGAAGTTAGCATATGTATTGCCTTGTTAATACCTCACGTTTACAGTACGTATGAAGTTACATAGTCTGTGTGTTTGTGTGTGTTTATCGCATTGAACACCAGGGTCTCTGTTTTTTCCCTCATATTTTGGTCATAGAAATTTGGCTTATTTCAATGTAGATTTCTTGTTTTTATTTGTTTTTCTAACATCTAGCCTTACATGACTTGTCAAAATTCTGTCAATTTCTACTGTAATTACTTATGCGTCAGTTTTATTATAATGAATAAATAGAAATACAACAGTTGTATAACAGTGTGAGTGTGTGACTATGTCACAACAAGCAGCTTCGTCTGCCACTGAACAGTGTGGTGTTGGCAGTGGGACTAGTATTGGTGGCCCGATTGGTTCTCCTATGTCATATCAACCAGTGTGTCAAAGATGTTTTAATCCATTGCAGTTGGATCAAGATTTTGAACACTTGCAAAAAACAGAACTTATGACTTTGTTAGGTGAGTTATCTTGTGCTAATATTCTCTATAAATGTTTCATCTTATGAGATTCGAACCCGTACCACTCAATGCTGCAGTTAGAGACGTTACCAATGAGCTTTTGGGGCTGGTGATTGACCTCCTGTAAGACTATAGGGGATACTTTGATTGGACACTTATAACTGGTGGGATGTGTTTAGTTCTTTATTTGGTGCAGACTGAATTCTTTCAGTCAATCATGAGCCCGAATAGCTCAGTGGTAATATCTCTGACTGCAGTACTGGTTGACGCGTTTTCGGATCTCAGAAGGGAAATGGATTCTTGCTAGGTTGTAGATACACCTTGCTGACGAGTGCCAACTAGCACGAAACGCAGGTCGAAGGCTTCCTGTGGCCGATTGCCTCCAACCATCTAATATCATCAAATCAATGTGCACCGTGATGGCAAGCTACCTAGAATGGTGGCCACATTGCCAACTTGACTGAGAGAATTCGGTCTGCACCAAAGAAAGGACTAGACACATCACACTAGTCACTAGTGTCCAATCAAAGTATTGTGGAACTTTATCAAAATAAAAATTTTATCTACAATGGAATTATAGTCTGTCACGGTGCACACGCTCTTTTCCGATAAAGCAGATGATTGTGGTATCCCAGATTCTTTATACACAATGATAGAAATAAAGTTAATCAATGCTTTTCGATGGTTTTTTCCAGGGTTATTTGGTGAGTAGGTGTGTACGCACACGAAATTAAGGTGTATTATAGTTTTTTTGTGTGAACACCTGTTTGATATATACCCACAATTTATCTCATTTATCTACCGGTCTGATATGTGTCTACAGCCTATCTCAGTATGTTAGTCACGTGAAATCAAATCATATGCTGTCACATGGTGGGCGTCAACCAATCAGAATCCTGCATGCAGTTGACGCCTATTATTTGAGGCTTGTGACTGGATCAATATATGCAGTATATTTTTGTAATCTTAGTCACTTGCTCACTTGTTTTGGAAATATATGTTTGCAACCCTATTGTGTGTGTGTCTTCTAGATTTTACTAATTCCGTTGTCAGAGTACATTTGACCAGGAAAATTGTCAAGTGTTCATTGTCGTGAACTAGCATTCGTACTCAAACTCGGCGACCTCATAACATGCCAACAAGGTTCAAGACTTCCTACCGACTGTCTCCAACCGTCTTAGATGGCGTCGAGCTTATGGTGATCATATTGTCTTTATGCAGTTAATATGAACCTTGTCTTTAAGACTATACCATGAATCTTATCGGAATGACAGATGTTTCTATATGATATTTATTGTATTTATTTAGTCGTTATATAAGTGACATCCTGGATACTCTATGTGCGTAAAAGGATAATATCTTCTCATGTTAATGCTTTAATTTAAATTTTAAATTGTAGACGCTACCAGTGCAACTGATGGTGAAGTGCGTGAACCGATAAATTTGGTACCTGTCAGAAATCCAACAACTCCACGACCACGATTTATTGTACCTCCCAAGTAATTATGGTCTTGAGGACATCTATTTTGTGTATTTATCGTTCATATGTTCCTTTTAGACAATTTCGAAATGTTTATGGTTGTAAAAGATTTCAGTGTTGTTTTATGTTGCCTCAGAATGTGATAAAGCAAACAATAATACCGGCAAATTTGCCTCACACAAACTTTTAGGCAATTTTGACTTACACTACGTATTATTTATTCCGTGGTTTTTTATTAGTGATGTCTAAATACCTATTGATCTCTTCATTGGGATCAGCAGCAGTAGCAGCAGAACAATGCGAAATTGATAATTATGCACTTTAGTTGACAAAGTTACCCCTAACGATCCAGATACATCTTATTGATTTTTTATCCTGATGCATTCGTCTGAACTGAACTGGAAGGCATTTTTACAGAAAGGTTCATCTACTTGATATCTTCACAGTTGGCAGTCTCATTGAATGGAATTTTTTTTCTTCTTACAAGTTGATCACGGATTGATATCAGATAGAGAACCATTGAGAATCAGGGAGTACTGGACAGTTGTTTCGCCCTACTTTGGGAATCATCGGCAGTACGCACCCCCTGGGGTTTTGAACCCATGACCTTCCGGTTATAAGGCAGGCTCGTATACCACTCAACCACTGGGACCTGATTCAGTGACTCGCCCATGAATCCTAACTTCTACCAATTTGTCATTTAGCGCGACCACCAACCAATGTCATCGGTGGGAAATCCATCCTCACATTTGATTTGGTGGACCTCACTGGTCACGACTTCTTACTAGAACTCCAAGAAACTCCGTCCTGTAGCATATCGTGGGTTCATTTAATCCTTTACTGGATGACTTCAAATTTTCTGAAGTTAGCCGGAGAGAGAGGAAAAGACATATGCATACTGCCACAAACACTTTAAATTTGAGACTTTTCAAATGGTAATGGCATTAAATTTTTGGCTCTACTTATTTATTGCTATTTGAAACTTTCAGCATCTGCATCGTTGCAATATCATTTTATATCACCATTTAAGTGCACAGATGGGTGTTACATTGTTAAGTGCGGAGTTATGGTTCATTGGTCTAGTCGCTTTATTTTCAACCAAAAGGTCACAGGTTCGAATTCCTCTCCAGCAACTACCTAAGTTTCGGCTGCAAGGTGGTAGTATTATCAGCCTTCATACATTAGGTGTGGCTCATCGCCGACTGCATGGATATGCAAAGGGTTGTTGCGTAGTAACTGAAGTGACCTAGCATCGTTAAGTTGGTATATTTTTTATTGTTTTACACCCAAGTTTTATGAAAATAACGGTGTGTCCATTTGTAATTCATGTAGAATCTTTGAGCCCGGAACATTTCCACTAGTTACTTTTAATATCTACACTATGATTTATCAATGATAATATAATAATCACCGAATATACCCATTGAGTCGTGAAGAAAATAAAAGACAATTCAGCGAAGAGAATTTCCTTTATCGACAAAATCATCTTCAGAGTCTGTACAGTCGTATTTATATTTACCAAAAATGTATAGTAGTGCATTATTGAGTAATAGGGGGTGGATGAGTGGGTGGGTGACATAATTGATATAATTACTTAGAATATAATATAATAATGTGATATAATAATAATATAGTAGTTCTTCTGTTCTTTTTATTGCTTTTAAGAAAACGATGATGAGCAAGCAAACTGAAACATATAGTTTTATTGTTAAACAGACTGATAAAATTTGGATAATGCATTGAGTTGCCAAACATATCTGTATGTATAGTCGAACAGGTGGACTGACAGCATAAGGTGGCCATGTGACTATGCTATTCAATCATATAGTTCACTAATCAAGGCACTCTACTCAAACTCACGTAGCCGTGTAAAGGCTTATGGGGAATTGTCATCTGAATTGATAACAACCAGTGGTATCCGTCAAGGATGTCTACTTTCCCCTTTTCTGTTTAACTTCATCATAGATATGCTAATGGAAGTATCCTTAACTGAACTTAACGACTTACGAATCGACTTGTTACCAGGGAATAGTCTTATGGACTTAGAATATGCAGATGACATAGTCCTGTTAGGGGAGGATGCTGACAAAATGCAGAGTCTTCTGAACACCTTGAGCAGCAATCTTCGTATGTTTGGCATGCGATTCGCCCCTGTAAAATGTAAGATGCTGCTACAGGAATGACTGGACTACGTCAACTCCTAGCTTAGTGATAGGGAGTGAAGTGATAGAACATGTTGACCACTTCACCTATTTGGGAAGTTGTATCAGCACCAACGGATTGATTGGTGACGAAATCTCAGCACGGATCCAAAAAGCTCGAGCTGCTTTCGCTAACTTACACCATCTCTGGCGTAGGCGTGACATCCGGCTATCAACCAAGGGACGTGTGTACTGCTCAGCAGTTCGCTCCGTCCTTCTCTGTGGCTCTGAAACATGGCCAATACGAGTTGAAGACATGAAAAGGTTGACTGTTTTTGATCATAGATGTCTACGATCTCTTTCTCACGTTAGGTGGTATAATAAGGTAAGTAATGTTGACGTTAGGCGTAGAGTGTTGGGCAAAGAGGGAAAATCAATCGAAGAGGCTATAAAGTTACATAGATTGAGATGGCTAGGTGACGTGCTGCGCATGCCTAACCATCGCCTCCCCCACCCCGACGGGCATTACTAGCTGATATAGGTGCAGGTTGGAAAAGAGTAAGTGGTGGCCAAACAAAAACATGGCATCAATCAATCCATGAAATCCTTGACAGTTAAACTGAGTCAGGTAGGGAGATGCAGACTTCCGGGTTGGGCCCGCCCTCGGGACTCTAAGAATCAATGGCTGGAGACAATAGGTGACATGGCTCAAAATCGTTGTCAATGGCTTACGCAGATGTATTCAGTCTCTGTAATCTTTCATATTCCTTTCTACCATTACTCATTCTGTTTCACTCTTATACTTGTCAAAACTCTATTGATTCTCTTCACTTATCTTCTTGTCTACCTTTGTGTGCTATTTGGAACGTGGCAACTCGAACTGCTGCACTTCGGTGCCAAGTTCTATGTTGAATCCAGACAGACAGTATGCATAGTCGAACAGGTGAACTGACAGCATAAAGTGGGCATGTGACTATGCCATTCAATCATATAGTGTTGATGGTGTAAGACAACTGAAAGGACTGAAAGATGACGGCTAAGTTATTCAAAAGACAGGATTATGAGTGAACTAGTATTTGAACACATTTATTCTAATGCATTCAAAGTTGTGTAGGACACTTTGCTAAGGTATTCCAATACATCAGAATAAAATTTTTCCTAATTTTAACTCACTTATCCTTTGTAGCATGTTGTATATCGTCAGCCAACAGCACACATAGAGGTTATATAGGTGAACCGAAATTTGGATACATTCACACTGAGTTATGCTGTCAGTAGGTTAGATAGATGGTGGTTGGGACAGAAGGGCTCAATCATTCACATGGATATACATTAAATTGTCTGACTGTATGGAAATTCACATTATCATCACGAATAGGTTCGCAAATTTAATTTTCTTTAGTTGTTTTGGTTTTTTTCGTGCACAATATTGTTATTATCGTTCTTGTATACTTTTCATTTAGTTTTCTACTGGAACAGTTTTACTTTGTTTCATTCTTTTTATTGATTGAAAGGAGTATCGATTAATAGAAGTAATCAATAGTCTGATAAAGTGCTATTCTTTTCAATGTATAGTGGATATAGGTTATTAATATTGTTTGTGCCTTCTCAAGAGGTTGATTGTTCGCCTTACTATTTTATCTCGCTTCAGTGAAGGAAAAAAATCAACTTTGTTAAGTTTTTATTGTGTTTGTTGTTTTTGTAATTTTCTGTCATCCAGTTCAGCGTTATCCTTATTGAATGATGATGAAGATCCTCTTGAAACTCTTCAATCTTATGCTGGACCGACATCAAGCCTTGATCATCGATTGAAGGTTAGTTGTAGTAGTATAACTCAAGATCTATTTGTAAACTCCGTGTTTTAAAAGAATTAAAATGTTTATATGATAAATGTAATGTATTGTCGAGATGTATTGCAAAATATTTGTTCACACACACACACACCTACCTGTCATGATGAAGGATTGCAAGGTCAGCTGAACACTAATCATGGTAATGTAATCAGATAGAAATTATCAAGATCGGTTAAGTGTAATGAAATAAAAAACCTCGTGGCTGAATAGCCAATGAGCTAGTCTCATAACCTGAAAGTCATTGATTCGATCCCTGGTGAGGTTATTGATGCACTTTATTGAAGAGTTCTATAGTTGGGTGAAAAACTATATCTGCAGTGCTCCTTGGTTTTCAATGGTTCTTTAACCGATGTCGATTGTGACGAAATTTACACTGGCAATAATAAATTGTTTTACACATACAAACATACGAGGTTTTCTTTGAAAGATTCTCTCGAACTTGTGGGCTGCCTTAGTCGCCATGAATAGTAAAGACTGATTTACCCTTTTTATGGGAGAAATGTTGTTTTAAATGTCTGTTTCTTGGTTTTGTTTAACTTCTTTGGCAATCACCTATTTGTTCGCAGACGAATCATCTGTCATTCTGGTTTACTCTTGTTCCAATGACAGTCACCTGCTCCATCAGTTCTGAGCTCTATTGTCCTATCTGTTTGGTTCCTTGGCATTTGTTTATCACTGTTGTAACCGTTCTACTTATTAATTGTCTCGTTACATTCACCGGTTTAGCGACATCCATGAATGTGTTACAGCCATTAACTGGACCTGAAGGGCGACAACTGGGAAGCTAGTAAACTGCGCTTGCGAATATTTGTCTAAAGTGGGTAACAAGTGTCCAAAACAAGCTTTTAAACGTTATCAATAAAGCCATTGGATTGCCATCTTGAAGGAGTCTATGGCTGCTAAATCTATGTAATGCCCCTTGCCTGTCTGTACAGATGTCCAGCTCTGAAGTCAGCCACTCGAGGACGTTATTCAACGACTCCTTCGTGTCCTTTTCTTGCACACTGTTGTAGGTAGTCTTCAAATGACCTCCCAACAAGGTTTTCACTGCACGCTGACAACCTCTGTGACAAGTCGCGAATTCCTTCAGTAACTTCCCTGGGTCTACATCCTGAAAAACTTGAGGCTACGGTAAAGCTTAGATGAGTTTCATAAAACTGAGAGAATACGAGGAATAAAATATTTAGGATACACCTGAATATTATTTAGGCTCACCTTATCTACTCGATGCAAGAACACCGGGATCAACGAGAGATAACCTTTCAATTGAACAGTTTTTGACAATTTATCCTATCCATTACCCGAGGAAGGTTGAACATGTTAGTGTCCAAAATAACTCTGTAACAGTAAGTCGTCGCACAAGCCGGAGTTCTAAGTTGAGGCTTAACTTGAGGCTTCATTTTCAAAGAATCTGTAGTGTATATATCTGACTAGTGACTTGTGCATCACTTCTAATGTTATGTAGGACGCGTGAAGTACCCATTGAAATTTCTCAGACTACTGGAGTTCGAGTTCTCATCTTTTTGACTTTCTTCAACTTCTTATCATATCATTTGATTCATATTTTTCACCTTGGTTTGTTAATATGAGGTCTTGTTATTAGTTCTCTAAACTGTCTGTAGTATTAATTTTTTACTTTTCCGTTCAGGATTTCAATTACAGTTTTCATATTCTTTTTTTTAGTCTTTTGTCGCATTTTTGATATCTGCTTTCTTATTGGCCATTTTCAGCTGTTAGACAAACTTATAACTCATGTTTATTTACAGAACGGTTCTCCACCTGTTTATCCGTTATTCTCGGTCGGTCGGTCGGTTTTCTAGGCCGCAAAAACTTTCATGTACGATAGTTTTGTTCCGTAGGTTAGTTTATTGATGTCTGATAATAATGTCTGGTAGAGCGTTAGTGGACATACATATGTACTTACATTCATCAAATGTTGAGTCGATCGAATTATCACACTGTTAAGTTCTAGTTTTATGCCAACTTTTTTATGAATTTATTTGATGAATATAATTTGAGTGTTGGTTTTTTTCAATGCTTATTACATTTTGTTGGAATTTAATATTTGTAATACATCACTAACTATTTTTTTTAGGTGAATGCTTGTCTGTTTGATGTCTTAAGCGGTCGTACTGAAGTTGACCATCCATTATGCCAAGAATGTGCTGACACCTTACTACTTGCTAAGCAACAGTGTTTAGAATTTCAAGAAGAGGAAATGAAGTGCTTGCAGTAAGTCAATTATTCTATTATTGTAATAATATTTTCGTTGTATTTCTTGGGAAAAAATCGATTGGTGGTGGTTTGTTCTGTTAGAATTGAAAAAAAATGAAAATCCCGATTTGAGACAGGTGTCGAACTAACGACCTTTTGCATTACTAGACACTCGTTGAAATACGACACCTAGCTACTAATCATCACATCATCGTATGACTGTAATTATCACAGGTAATGACCACCTATCGTATTGGTCAGGGATAAGTAGCTCTCCGTTTATCATCACAGTTCGATAGGTTGATAATCGACCTTTAACCTTCATATTCCTTTCTACCATTACTCATTCTGTTTCAATCTTATACTTATCTAAATTCTATTGATTCTCTTCTCTCCTTTTCCCGTCTACCTTTGTGTGCTATTTGGAACGTGGCAACTCGAACTGCTGCACTTCGGTGCCAAGTTCTATGTTGAATCCAGACAGACAGAGACAGAATCGACCTTTTTATGATTCTATGTGTTTCTCATGCATACCTACCGTGTGTGCTGATAAAATGGTAGAGCACGTTGACTACTTCGCTTATTTGGAAAGTTGCATCAGCCAATACCGGCGAGTTGATCTCTGGCGAAATCTCAGCACGGATACAGAAGGCTCGGTTCGCATATGCCAGTTTACGCCGTCTCTGGCGTAGACGTGGTATTCGGCTATCGACCAAAGGGCGTGTATACTGCTCACCAGTCCACTCCGTCCTCCCTTGTGTCTGTGAGATATGGTCATTGAGATTGGAGGACATGAAAAGACTAGCTGTATTTGATCATAGGTGCCTGAGTTCTATATCCCGTGTGAAGTGGTATAATTAGTAGAACAATATTGAGGTTAGGCTTCGGTCGAGTGTTAGGTAAGGAGGAGAAATCAATCAACGAGGTTGTGAAGTTACATCGACTGAGATGGTTAGGACATGTGTTATGCATGCATGTTTAGCCATCGCCTTCCTCGATGGGCGATGTTAGCTGACATAGGATTGATCAGATTGGAAAAGACCCAGTGGTGGTCAAACGAAAATATGGCTTCATCAGTCAATGAAATCTTAACAGTTAGTTTAAGCCAGCCACGTAGGGAGGTGTAAACTTTCTGACTGGTTGGGGTCCTGGGGATGGTGAAAACCAATGAAGTCTGGAGACAATCGGTGATATGGCTCAAAACCGTTGTCAATGGCGCAGATGCATCGACTCCTTGTGTTTTATAATATCCAATAAAACTATGTTATTCTTCGATATTACCATTGATTTTGCCTCATATCTCTTTTTATTGTCTCTGTTTCGCATTTCTTTTTACTTTCTCCTCTTCTTTTGTTTGTTGAGTGAAGTGTGGCGACTCGGACTACTGCACATCAGTGCAAACTTCTTTATTGATATCAGTCAGTCAGTCAGTCAGTGTTGATAAAGTGATTCGACTTTGTATTCATATGTATATTGTTTCTTCTTCGTCAAATTGACCTAAAGCGGCTTTGGTGAGTTGATACTTCACAGAAAGTAGTATCAATAGCTATTGTTAAACTTTGAACTTTGGTCTCAATGAATGTTAATTGAGGTTCTCAGCTATTGGCACACAGGTTCGCAAATCAACGTAATTTATATTTTTTGAATTATTAATCCCATTGCGGTATGAGATAAGGACTTCAGCGAAGAAAATTGACCCTCCTCTCGACGTTTTCATTCTCATTCTTCTACATTTGTGACTGTACATGTATCAAAACAGATAACATACAAGCACGTGTGCTGTGTACGTATGCATCAACGATTTTCCGACAGTACAATATTGGTTTAAATGATTATGAATCACAAGTTGATTAGAAATTTGAATGAATAAAGTAGGTTCAATACATAGCATAGTAGATATGAGTAAATAGGTGATAGAGAAGATCAAGTACACTTCTAAATGTGAACATTTGAATTTATCAGGTCAAATGCAATTAGATGAGATGTATGAAGTATCGTCAATAAGGATTTTTCAAAATATGTTAGAATGTGAAAACAGGAAATAGGTTAAGGCAAACTTTACTCCCCTAAGAGGTTTGACCTCACCAATAACCTTGTAACGCCCAGTCAGCAAGTTAATGAGACTGGGTAAATTATGCTGTGGTCGTGAATAAAATATGCCTAATACTCAGAGTACACAAAGATACCAAAATCATCCACCTGAGCTACAAAATCTTCACCACTATAGCTCAATGAAATGTTATGATATTAAGGGGGACAATATGGTAAAGTTTTTAGGTTAGTTTTGGAAAAGATTAATTTAAGGTTTTAGCTAAGGTCAAGTTAGGGTTAGGTTAACCTAACAAGGAAGATATTAGGGTTGGTCTGAGTTAGATTGAGGTTAGTTTAAGGATAGTTTCGCGTTAGAATTGGTCTAGAGATAGTTAAGGGTTGGGGTTAGAATTAGAAGACTTGGACGAATACTTGCATATCGAATGTGGTTCTGATAGGAATTGGCCTGAAACAATAATCATCGTATGATCCATGGTGTGATCGGATGACCGTAAAATTTCATCACATTTTTCCCACCTTGGTCTTGGTCAAATCGCCAACCAATTAGAATATTTATTTCTCGTATACCTTAACTGAATCGCCTATCAATTGAAACAATCCATTTTCACTGCCTTGGGCCAATTTTAATGTGGTAAAAAAATACATAAATATGATGTGTTTTTCCTAATAAAATCGTATCCTAACAGTCACAGACCAGTCTTTATCTTTTGATATTTACGAGGCTCACTGAAGCAAAAGGTAGCATGGGTGAATACCCACGCTTAAGTCCACTCGGTCATATCAACTGTCGATGAGAGATCACATCAATTAGCGACAGGTCCATTAAAAATTAACAACGAATTCATTTCAACTGACGAAATAGATTATAACAGGTTCAGTTACTCTGTTTGACACTCCAGTGCAGAACTAGGAGGCATTTATGTCACACTTCAGGGAAAGGTATCCTGTGTATCAGTTTCATGCCATTGTATTCATTAGCTTCTTAATTATATACGTATTCCATACGTAAAAATCACATTTTCCAAATGATTAGTGGATCGCAGTCTTTCGATGCTGAGAGTTTAACTTCTTCATGGGGTGAAATCAGACGAAACAAAATGAAATAAACAAGTTTCGTGAATTACATAATAGATTAAATCGAGTGTAAAGAATGGAATCGTAGAAATTATTTTAGTATGTTAAGTTCTAGCTTTATGTTGTTGATATAGCCAAGACTACCGAAATTCCCTTCTGTCACATAATGCTTAAACTTTTCTTCATTTTTAATTGTTTTAATCACTCACTTATATCCACTGATCATTGACCACATAAAATAGCGCACATTTTCATTTGACTTTCAACAATAAAATGTTGTATAGTTCTGGAAGAGAATGAAGGAAAAAAATCATAGAGAATGGGATCTTTTTTCAGATATTAAAAGACTGTGTCATATGGTATACTACAGAGATTATTATTACTATACTTGTAGATCCTGTACACGACGGGTAATGTTAGCTGACGTATGATTAGGTTGGAAAAGAGCCAGTGGTGGTCAAACCAAGGCATGGCTTCATCAGTCAATGAAATCCACAACAGTTAGTTTAAGCCAGTCATGTAGGGAGGTGTAGACTTTCTGACTGGTTAGGGTCCTCGGGATGGTAAAAACCAATGAATTCTGGAGACAATTGGTGATATGGCTCGAAATCGTTCTGAATGGCGCAGATGCATCCACTCCATGTGACTTATAATATCCAACATAATTATATTTTTTTTCCATATTACTATTCTTTTTGCCTCATATTTCTCTTTGTTATCTCTGCTTTGAATCTTTCTCTACTCAGTTCTCTTGCTCTGTGTGGTACATGGAGGGAGTGTGGCAACTGAAACCACTCCATATCGATGCAAAGTTCTGCGTCGAAACCAGTCAGTCAGTCAGTCAGATCCTGTAGGAGGAGGAAATACTTCTGAAATTAAATACACAGAGAATTTCTGTACTGTGTTAATATTATTACCTGATATAAATTATTATTATTATTGTTCCCTTGGGTTCCAAGTGGAACATAGGCCACAACTGCACGTCTCCACTTGCTTCTGTCTTCTGCTGTACTTTTCACTTGCATCCATGTTAGTCCATGCTGTTTCAACTCCTCTTCACACGATCTCCTCCATGTCACCCTTGAACGTCCCACTCGCCGCTTCCCTTTCGGGTTCCACTCGAGCGATGGCCTGATGCGCGATGTCACCCAGCGGCCTCCTCAGCGAGTGTCCAATCCCTCTCCACTTTCTCCTGCATATTTGTTGAACGATTGGTTCTTGTTTTGTTTGTTCCCATAGTTTCTTGTTGGTGATTCTTTCCGGCCGGCCATCTGATCTTCAGTATAGAGCGAAGACAGCTGTTGATAAAGGTGTGCAACAGGCTGTTGGAAATATTCTTTGTGACCCGCCAACTTTCTGATCCGTATAGAAGAACTGACTGACTTGACGTTTGTATTGAAAATCCGAATCATTTTGTTGTTGATTCTGAGTGACGAAGATTTCCAGATTGGTTTCAGGTTGATGAGTGTGACCAATAAAAGCTTTATTATTATTATTATTAATCTTGTTTCCAATGCATATTTTCTTCATTGAAGTAGACAGACTTTAATTTTACTATTTCGAAAGTTGTCTAGAATACAAATTAAAACATACAAATTAAAAAAAAGTCATTTGTTTTCATCAACCTGTCAACAATATATGTGCTTTTCTTGTCTAATAAACAAAAAAGAAAGAAAGAAATTACAACACAAGGTTTTATCTTTTTTCTTGAATTTTCAGATTTTATTTATCCTATTTAGATTCAACTGCTGGTAAAATTGAAGCCAAGCTGAAAGCTAAACAAACTGCTAAAATAAAATCTGCAAAGCATAAACAACTTAATCTTTCATCCGGCGAAGTGAAAATCAGCAAAAAACAACAGGATGATTCAGTTGATGAAAAGACTACTAGTAACAATAGTTCTACTTCAGCTGTGATTCATGAAAGTGATGATAAGCCGAAATGCAATAATGATGGTGATCGGCATGATGATGATGAGATGTCCGGTGAGGATGATGATGACGATGATGATTCTGCATTGATTGATTCTATGCTACTAAGTTATGCCTTTGATGGAGAAGACGACAATAGTGAGAATTATTTTGACAATGCTGGTGACAATGATGATGATGATGATGAAGACGCCGGCGGCAATAATGATGATAATTCAACATCTGTTGATGATAAAATCAGTGCAGAATTGAAAAAGTTAAACATAAAACCAAATAGTAAAAAATGTGGTACAAATGTTAAAGAACTTGAAAAGACATTAAGTATGCTACAGGCAAATTTGAATGAACTTCTACTTGAAAGTGAAAAATTAGATAAGCAAATTATTCATGATACAGCAGAGTTGGAAAGACGTACAGAAGAGCTAGATAGGTCAGTATACACATATATATATATATTTTTCCTAATCGTATTATTTGTTTGTATTATTGGCACTTCAATAGCATAAATCTAGTTTACGATTTTCAAATTACACAGTTTGAACAGATGAAATTCTACCACAGTTTCCTTTGGGGACCGAAATTAATCAGACACCGATCACAGTAGTATGTGATCCTCTTGATACCATGATTGGTAATCAAGAAACCAGACATAACTCCATAAACTATTGGTTGATTGAAATGTGTAGTATATTTATATTGATTTATGCTTGCTTTTTTAATTACCGTTTATGGTATAAAGCAGATCATGAATTGTGATCTGAATTATTTTACTTTCCAAGGAAAAACTGTGGTGAGATCTTATCTCAAACGGTGTAAATTGCGTTTGGCGAGTTCGGTTTATGGTGTTACCAGTGTTCACCCAAGTAGCTAGCCAGAAATTTGGTGGTTCGGACTGATTTGGCTCTCTGAGCTGGGTCAAACTCCCGGGTACACCGCTGATGAGCTCGGTTCATTCACATGGGGAACTGCCAGCCTAAGTTTAGATGACTTCGATGTAGGTGGTAATAACTACTGGTTGATGTGAGAGAGGTTTACAAGTGCTCATCTCCATCAACCAGTTGTATGTCGTTTTATAAGCTTCAATATTATGCGCAGAGTAGCTTATATATATATATATATATATATATATATATATGTATATAAGTGTAATAGTTACTTTTAATTGTATTGTATTACATTTCGCAATGATCGAATCACAGGAAATAATTTCCTGAATGGGTAACTTCATCCTATGAGTGAGTTCATGATCTGCAGTTAGTTGTCTTTTAACTGCTTCTAAGGCCATATTGAATGGTATATTAGTATTAGTGTAAAGACTAGTTGTATCGAAACTAACCATATTCTTTATTCATTATTCTCTCTCTACAGTAAATATTACTGTATAACACTGTGATTTATCAAAACCATATTTATGCATAATGGTGTGATACTCTATCACAGTGCCCAAGTTATATCGCTATATCAATGAATACGAGTCGCTAGCTGACCGATGTTTACTGGATGTATTTCCTAAAGTTGCAGTGGGAAGTCGTGACCAGTTAAGTCTATTATGCCAAGGGGAATTCGATACTTATTGAAGGCATTAGTGAGGGTAGCTCTTTATTACGAGTTGATGTAGTAAGAATTCATGGTGATTGCGTTCCTGCCTAAATGGCTAAATGGGTAAAGAGCTTGTTCTCTTTACCTGAGTGTCCTGGGTTCGATCCCTAGTGGTGTCATTGGTGCGAACTGTGAAAGGTTCTAAAGATGGATCGAAACATCTATCCAGTGCTCCTGACTGGTTTTCAAGAATCTCTCTAACTGATGTTGGTTTGTGATGAAAATCCAACAGTACAAATGTGTTTATCACTCGTATTGTACTTTTTATTATCCTTTTGAAACATCCCCTTCTGTTTTATATACTCATTTGTTTGTTTATGCTATTGTTTTCTTTTTGTTAAACTTAAGTTTGTGTTTTTACTAGTGGTGGTAATAGTCAGTCATTTGAACTGTTGCACTTCTGTGCGTATCGTTTTCCGTTCTTGACGATGAAAAGTACATCTTTTTAGCACACTTATCACCTTCATTTTATATGTTTCTTGGAAAATTCTACAGCTACGTTATCTGAATACTTATCACTTTCAACTTATAAATGATATATATTTAGTATATTTATGTATATCATCGAGTTGATCGGTCATTTCATCTGAACTAGTTGTTGGAAGAAACTACTCATAGCATGAAGGAATTGTCGATTAAACCGCCGGTAGTTCAAAATTCATTGTAGAACAACCAACAGCATGTCACTCACCGTATCATAAAGAAACTAAATTTTATGATAACGAAAATTATTTTAAGTAGTCACTCACTCATATCATGTCTTCTTTTTGATAATCGAATGATCAATACTCTGTGGTATTAGAAGAGATTTGTAGCTCATGATGAAGATTCAAACTGTTTAGTGTTCTTCGTGGTTGGATATTTGATAGTAAAATTAGGTCAGCAGGATTGCTGGTGTCTTAACTGACTATTGATCAGAAGACGTCTGTACTGCGCAGTACACTTTGTTCTGCCATTCCTAATGGCTATGAAACATGACCATTGAAAGTGGAGGATATAAAGAGGTTAGCTGCCTTTTACCACAGATGCTTACATTTTATCCCCTGTGTTAGGCGGCAGTTTATGGTGAGTAATATTGAGGTTGGGCGGAGAAAGTTAGGTAGGAAGAGAAAGCGAATTGATGAAGTTTTGAAGGTACTTCGATTGAGATCTTTAGAGCAGATGTTATGCATTCCGAGGCAGCGCTTTCCTCATCATGGAATGTTAGATGACATAGGGTTAGGTTAGAAGTGGTCAAACGAAAACCTGTCATCAATCCATCAAACTACTGTCAGTTGGCTTTAACCAGCCACGTAGGGAGGTGGCGACTGTTTGGTTTGGGTCATTCAGGTGCTAAGAACCAATCTTTAAAGACTGTTGATGATATAACTCAAAGTCGTTCTCAATGGCGCAAGTGCATTCACTCTTTGTAAACACTTAACAACACATAAGTGTAAACTTCTCACCTAATTCACTTATTAAATAACTCTTTAATTATTTTGTATTTGATAGTATTTATGCATTATTATTATTACATGTATTATGTTGTCATTTTTATCGCTATACGATTAGAGCTACAACTCAATACAATGATCAAAAATTAGCTTTAATGGAAGCTGAAGAAGAAATGCAGTGTTTAGAATCTCGACTCAGCTATGCTCGGAGTCATTTACGTCGGTTACAACGTACAAATGTGCTTAATGTTGCTTTTCCTATTTGGTATGATGGTCATATTGGCGTGATAAATGGTCTACATCTTGGCCGGTTGCCTAATCGTCCTGTAAGTTACAACTACTAGTCCAACGTAATAATATTACTTTCAGAACCTGTGTGATTTTTCTCCTCTATCATTTCTGTCTTATTCTTCTCACGTTCAGGTTTCTGAAATTTTGTCTCATCAGACAGGTTGTTTTGCATTTTGTCAATATAATCTTTCTGATCCATTATCACAATCCTTGCATTCTTATCTGGTCGTGTGTTAGTAGGATATTCTCATTTTTCTTCAACTCCTTTAATTGAATGAAATGTTCATTCGTGAGATGCTGGAGCAATTTCGGTTTCGATTTCATGTACTGATGAGCACAATTTAGCAATGATGACTTGAAATAATCTAGGTCTTCTAGTGAACTTGCTATCAGGTCCTTTGTCTGATTGATCAGATTTTCAAACTGCAGGTGCTGTCTGCTGCAACTGATGATCTTCCTCACTGTGGTGGACTGCATCAAGCAACTGACTGTGGGGAGTGAGTAGACACTAGACCGACACAAGGACTCTCGAAGATCTACATTTTGCGGCTAATCGATGTCCCACTTTTGTACAAACTTGAAGACATTAAACTGAAAATCAGTCAGTTGATAGAAAAGACAGGACTTGGGATAACATGGAGAAGATAAAAATGATGAGGATATCCATTTAATATAAAAATTCAAGCACAGTCAATGGGAGGAATCAAAAGGAAATTGTCTATTTCGTTTACCTGACCTCGGCATCATTGTTTCAACTACAACCGGTAAAAATGAGGTTGTGAAAGCGTGCCGGAATCGATAAGACAGGCGTTCATCACTCTAGAATCATTACAAGAAACAAGATATCCTGTAACCAATCAATCAAATCCCTACAAACCAATACTTCAATATCAATGAGGTGCTCAGTAGCAACTGTCCCTTTTCAGGTAGGTAATTTCCTGGGGTTCTAGTGGGAAGTGGTGACCAGTAGGATACAGCAGGTTGGGTATGAGGACAGATACTCGCCGAAGACATTGGCTAGTGGTCGTTCTATGTCGTGAATTGACAGAAGTTAGAATTCATGGGCCATTGGATAGGGTCCCAATGGCTTAATGATCCAGAGCTGGCTCGCGTTGTAATCAGAAGGTTCTGGGTTTGAACCCCGGTGGGTGCGTTCTGTGAAAAGTCCTAAACTAGGACGAAACAGTTGTCCGGTACTCCCTTCAGGTTTTCCAATGGTTCTCTAACCGATGTCAGTTTATGATGAAATCCTGTCACCAATCAAATCCCTACAAACCAATACTTGAAAAACAAGGTATTTATTCTGTTTAATTATCAAATCAGTCAAGGCTTCTGTATGTTTTAGAGATTTGACGCGTGCATGCCACCGAAAGCATTTCCAACAGTATATTACACGCTTTCATCAGTAGCTGTTATCTCCCGATCCTAAAGATAAGACAGCTAGTGAAAAAGGATAAGCAACAAGGAAATGCTTATTCTCATTGGTTGGCGATTCGACAAAGCCCAAGGTCAGACCAAAAACGATGATCACACACTGAACCACAATATGTGTATGAGAAATGATACATTCACATAGTATCTCCATCACAAGATAAATCACAGGATTCGTGAGAAAGGACGGTATACTTTTTTATGCTGGGTCCTATCACCAATCTACCAAGAACCTATTGCTTATTGAATTTGCAGAAGAAAATGTACATAGACTGAACATACGCTGAAAAGACTGTTGAGCAACAACACACTTCTGACGCTCGGGTGGAGAAGCAAAGAGTTTGGGTGTCTGAATGTGACATACAGAAGATTATATGAGGAAGAAATGAAAACCTCTAGGCAGTTAAAGGTGATGGTAGAAAACAAAGGACAATAGAGATGTGCAGATGAAGCTTTCTACGTTCCAATCGACAGACAGGAAACAAATAAAATGTAGAATCTCTGTATAATTGTATGTGCTTGTTATGTTCCTTTCCACTGATTGCATATTCATTCAAAATATCATAAAATGTTCTCATCTAACTACATATTCACTAATTTTATTTAACACATACGATAACTGTACATTAATTGTATTGCTATTGTTACCTCGCATTACTTGATTATTACTCAGCAGTTTAAGACGAATATTTTATCTGAGGAAACCACCGTTTTTCTCAATTTTTTGTATAGTGAGTAAGCAACAATCTTTTGAATTGTATTGTAAAGAAATTTCAAAGCAAATTTTCCTTGTCTTCGTTTGTAAGAATTTTTCTCAACACTTAACCGTTAAGTCAGTTTCTGATAATTCGAACTGTTATTTAGTTGAGGATATCTGTGTTTTGTTTTTTTTTGTCCAGGTTGGTTGGGAAGAGATAAATGCAGCTTGGGGTCAATGTGCATTATTATTGCAGTGTATCTCAAAAAAGTTAAATTTCACTTTTCAAAAGTAGGTAGAATAAAATGAGCATTGTTTTAATGATCCCTTTGTTTGTGTCATTTTATAATATCACGCATGTATTATTATAATTCCCTCTAGTCCCGAGTGGAACATAGGGCTTCAACAGTACATCTCCACTATATCATGTTTTTTGCAGTCCTCTTTGTGTACCTTGTGTACCACGACTGCCGCTCATCTGCTCTTCGAGTTCAACCTCAGACACAGACCCAACTTGTCGTTTTTCATTCGGATCCCACTCAAGAGCCTGGCGCGTGATGTCACTTAATGTTCTCCTCATCGTATTTATTTCCATCTGCATTTTCTTTGGTATATTCGTTGAGCAATTGAGCTATCGAAGATAGTTAGTTGTTGATAAAAGTTGGAAATGGTTTTGGTGACACACCAGGTCTCTGATGAAAAATATAGGAGAACTGATTTGACATTAGTGTTGAAAATCCGTTTTCCTATACATTGAGGTTTCTGTAGCGATTGGGTTGGTTTTCTGGGGGTGGAGAGGCTAGCCTCATGTCCAACCTTCATTCTTTTGCTAGACCTAGGACTGGCTAATGAGTTACACTTTATGCGTCGGTGGCACAGTGGTTAGGACGCTCGCCGACCATGCACATGGTCCGGAGTTCGATCCCCGGCTGACGCTCACCTAATATCAATAGTCGGCCTGATAAATTTGGGCTACGTATCTCACATGCTGAAAATTCCATTCTTGTATCAAAAATACTGTGTGGATATATGTGTAAAACTTGGGCACTGTGGTAGTAAGTAGTTCCATATTAGTTTGTTTATGAGATGTCTCACTGTGTGATACGTCTAATAAACAAACTAATATGGAATACTGTGTGGAGTCAAGCTATAATATATATATATATATATCCGAACTAATCTTCTGTTTAATGGAAATCCCACAGACCACATTATTTAGAAGAATGAAAGAAAATTGCTCTAGAAATACAAATAAGTCGATTAATCTGACATGTTAGGTGACAAATAATACTAAGTTAAAGGCCTAGATTTCATCTTACTGACTCATAATGACGTGGCGTGTTTTACTGAAGTTGTATACTCGTTCGAAAGATGTGATATTCGTTATTGTTGTTTGAATCCACTTACCTGAATTACATCTTTCATGTAAGCCGCGCTTACCGTATAACGGCTAACGATCCCTCTAAGTTACCCAAGTTGAAACAGTCAGAGCTGGGTTCGAACACTGTGACCTATTTGTTGAAAAGACTAAGTACCACATTTTCATATTCGTTATTCATTATTAAATAACATGTTAAATATGGCTAAATGATTATCGCAACAGTTGAAATTGCTTTTATTGTATTTCTATAAAAACTTTCACATTATCCCTAATACCATCGATACAGTAGATATTGTACTGTTGTTGATTCTTTTACCCACTTGGCTTTCATACAGTAGATTAGGAACTGGGAATTCATTTCAGTTAGTAGTGACTACCAGGGATATTCAAAGTGATTACTGCGTCCTATTTGGTCCTCGTCAGCTGCATTCTCAGTGAGTGATGTCTGTCCATACAGACTCGAACTCTGCACACATCTTTACAAACTTCGAAGCATTATCCATGACAGCGAACTCTTGGTGTTTGAAACGATAGGTGCAGAGTACGAGTCTGTGAAGAAAGCATCACTCAGTGGGAAATGTAGGTACATCCATTTCATAAATCTCAAATTGGACGAAATGAGCATCCTGGATTCTCCACTGCTAGTCACCACCAACCAAGATAATTGCCCGTTAATCCTTAGTTACCTCTGAAGCATCCGTACTTACGAGATCGAACATTTCAGTAGGAAAAAATATATCAGCAAGAAATACAAGATTTCTTCCAAGACTGATCACGGATCGATATCAATTAGGAGACCTTTGGAGACTAGGGAGTACTGGACATCTGTTTCATTCTAGTTTGGGACTCTTCATCAGTCAGTATGCGTATACTGGGGTTCAAACACAGGACCTTCCTACTACAAGACAAGCTCGTAGACCATTCAACCGCCGAACTCTTTGCAACAGGCCATCAGTTCCAGCTTCTGCCAATACGTGATTTTAGCACAATCACCAGCCATTGCCATTGGCGAGTATTTATCCTTACTCGAGACCGAGTGAACCTCAGTCGTCACGACTGCTCACTAGAACTCCAAGCGACTTCGTCCTGTAGCCCAGTCAGTCACTGGCAATCATCAGATTCATTTTTTAAGAATTAATTGGCTGTTGGGTGTGACAAAGTCATGAATTCGTAGAAGTTGGAACTCATAGGTCATTGAATTGGGTCCCAGTAACTGAATGGTCTACGAAGTTGTTTTGTAAGCAGAATATCCTGTGTTCGAACTTCAGTGGGTGCATGCCGATGAAGAGTCCCAAACTAGGAGGAAACAGCTGTCCAGCACTCTCTGGTTTTCAGTGGTTCTCTAACTGATATCAGTCCGGGACCAAACTTGAAACAAATCGAATCCCTACAATTTAACTCTTGAAAATACAATATCAACTTGAAAACAGACAATTCATTTTACCTACTGACAGGTTTGCATATTTTCGTACTAATGTTATATATTTTTCATATACCAAACAAAAATCATTTTATAATCGAACACATGAATGTGTACATGAGTATATATATATGCATTACAAGACTGCTCTTTTGTACAAACTATTTATTGATTTTTCATAAATTGAATCTATAATAAATAATGTGTAAAGTACATTTGCTTTTTTTTCATTTTTCTGTCCTAAATTACCATTCCCTTTGTACAAACTATTAACTAAATAATCATAAAAAAATAATTAACAACAACACCCAATCAGTTATCGTGTTGTACCAATGGGAAGTCAATCAAAAATAATTCAATTATCAATATCTAAAGAATTTCCACTGTATTATACTACAGGTGGGATGCGTTTGTTAAGCGCTGGCAAGTAAGTTAGCATATTTTACGCATATTATTATTATTGTTATTATTAACACTACTATTACATAATTTCTTATACCTAGGATTTTCATACAGTCAGTGAAGTGTTTTAGATTTGATTGTGCACACAATACGCCGCATATATATTATGTATCCAGGGTAACTTGAATTATTTTCAAGTATTGGTTTTTAGGGATTTGATTGATTGGTTACAGGATTTTATCATGAACTGACATCGGTTAGGGAACCATTGGAAGACCTACAGTGAGTAGTAGACAGCTGTTTCGTCCTAATTTAGGACTCTTCATCAATACACACCCACCGGATCTTCTGGTTACAAGGCGAGCTCGTTATGTGTGTAGTGTGTTTGATGTTTCTATTATAAGCGCAGCTATTTCTTATCTTCACTCAGTAGTAGGTGTTGTTCGAGTTTTTTTGTTGTTGTGTATACGAGGGGGGTAATTCCCCTGTCCCTATATCGACAGCTAATAACTAAGAATAGGGAGGTTTGATCAGTTTGACTTCACATCAGTTAGAAAAACTGGATAGTACACCACCACCGGGGTTCGAACTCGAAAATCTTCTAGAAATAAGACGAGCTTGTAGACCATTCAGTTACTGGGACATCTGTTTCACTGACCTATGAATTCTCACTTCCTCCAATTTGCAATGTATCAAGTGCCATCACCGTCTATTAGAGGGTAATTGTTCTCTTACCTAAATTGGTGGACCCCTCTGTTTACGAATTCCTACTGAAACTGGGGGTAACTTTCTGCATAAGGGCAGTCGCTACTGAGCATCAGATTAAATATCAGTTGTTGGTTTGCAGGGATTTTATTGATTATAAATTGGGTCACAAGCTGACATCAGTTAGAAAAACATGAGAAATCTAAGCAGAGTACTGCACAAGTTGTTTCGCTCTAGTTTAGGGCTCTTCACCAGTTCTCGAACTATTTTCAACTCGTAATCAATCCTGTCATCAATCAGATCCCTGTAAACCGAAGCTTGATAAAAACAGAAATCTTTTGATTATATAACGTCAATCGATCTACTGTCCATCCCCCCTGCCTTGTCTATTACACTTGTAATTTGTGTTAAAATAATCATTATCACAAAAATTCAAGAGTTATTAGTAATTAGCGTTCTTCCCGTGTTTTTCTCTTCCTCCCTCTCTCCTTCTATCTTTTTTCTAAAAACAATAGATTCGATACAGCTATGATAAATTTCCTCGATTGTGTAAATCAAGTTCAATGCGTAATTGAACATTCATCTAACATACAACTACCTTTTCGTATTAAAGATAAAGGAAAACTACAAGATTCTGATGGTCAAGTTTATTCAATCAGGTCAGTAGTAGACTTTTAATAATTATATAATCCGCTTTCTGCTAATACACCTTTAAAGATATATCAATTTGAGATAGGCATTAAAAATACTATAACAGTCTATACAGATCTATAGAAATCTAACAATTACCTTCTTGTAACAACGCATAATTCTTAACTTATCATGTTAACCAGTATCAGTTGAGTGGGGTATACTGTTTTAATGCTTTTAAGTGAATTTTTATTATTCATCAATTATTTTTTCCTTTAGTTTTTAGAGGAACATAGGGCTTCAGCCGCACGTCTCCATTGCGTTCGGTTCTCTTCCAAAGTCTTCATCTGGCTCCACATCTGCCCACATGCTTTCATCTCCTCTTCATATGACCTCCTTCTCCGTGTAACCCTCGCACTGACGACCAACTCGCCGCTTCCCATTCAGGTTCCACTAGACAGCCTGGCGTGTGATATCACTTGATAGTTTTCTCAGAGTATGGCCAGCCAATCCACCTCCATTTCTTCCTGTATATTTATTGCACAATCGGTTCCTGCTGGGTTGGTTCGCTCCCAGAAATCCCTCCCTATTACTGATCTTTTCTGGCCATCTGATCTTGAGCAGTATTGAGCGAAGACAGCTGTTGATGAAGGTTTACAGTTTGGCTCGAAGTGCCCTTCGTGACGCGGCGCCAAGTCTCTGGTCCATAAAGTAGCACTGACTTCACATTGAAGTTGAAAATCCAGACCTTGTTTTTCATGCTGAGTGCTGTTGACCTCCACACAAACTTGATAGTAATGAAAGCTTGCCTTACTTTCCCTATCCTCACTTTGATATCCTGTCTGTAGTTGAAACGATGCCTCCCAAGTAGATAAATGAGGTTGCTTCTCTCAGATTTTTCCCATTTATTCTGATTGTTGTCTGTTGTTGTTGCTGTTGGCCAGGAATGTTCATCACCTCCCTCTGTTTCCTCTATGTTCACCTGAAGTCCTGTCTTCTCTGGATGCTTCTTCTATCGCCAACTTTTTGTTTTTCACTTGCATATCTTCCAGTTTGTCGGAAATCAAACATATATCATCGGCTAAGTCCACGTCCTGCAAGTTTTTCGTGTGGGTCCATTTTATGCCTGTTTCCTCGTTGCTCGCCACTGTCTGTTGCATTATCCAGTCTACAGCAATCAGGAAGATCATTGGAGATAATACTTCTTCTATTTATTTATGTATTTTCATTACTTTATGCTCCAAGTAGAACATATATGACTTCACTTTTGGAAGTCTCAGTAGCTCTTGTGTTATTATGACAGGTTGGTGTTGCTGACCTTACCCGACCGACCGACCACCACCTTTCCTCTTTTACAGCTTTACTACCTGCTAGGGGAGGTTCATGAATGCGTCGGCAAACAGTAACATATATATATATATAAAATTAATCAGGATTTAGACGGAATAGTTCCACAAACTTTCGTAACGTAAGACGAAAGACTGCAAGTTGGGTTGGTTACATTTGTCACTTAAGCAGTCAAACATATTGTTTCTTCCTAAAGTATTGAAGTTAAACTTCAACCTGTAAATTGCGATAGTCTTTTTGATTGGATATTTTCTTTCACTTTTGTGTGACTACACTCTCAATGCGAGCATATATTATTTCTTATAAGGAAAAGATAATGAAGAAGAAATAAACTTGTATATACGAAATCAATTAAAACCTTGTAGTGCTTAAGATCTTTAAGAACTGTGACATCTGTTTGATGGTTTCGAAACCAAAGGGTGTCTACACATACATACTCCAACGTACGCGATATTCATCAGATATACTTGTGTGTACTTGTTCACCTTAGACACCAGCTAATTGTTTGATAATCAAATTATAACAACAAATTGATGATCACCTTAAATACGAAATATATTTCAGAATAAGAAATGTAGAGCAATGATGTCTGCCTAGATAAGTTTGTGTACACGAACAACTGAACATAACACACGACGACGTGCCAAATGGCAGTTGAATGCTTGACCACGTCATTTCAGTTGAATCAGTCAACGTAAGCGGTGAAGGTCAGCATTCATTGTGAAATGTGATGAAAGCTTTAGGAGAATAATTTTGGGAGATTGTTTACTGTGTGTTACACTGGCTTTATTGATTAATTTGTTTTTCAAGGGATAAAAGTTCAACACATTGATTATTACTTGGTGCTCAGATTTTGATACACATTTCAACTGAACTGTTAGTCTATAGTTTAGAGATGTGCTATAAAGACTGCTATCTAGAAGCATTTGATGATAACCATTAATATGATTTTTTTCAAGATTTGATTTATAAGGAATTGATTTGTTTTTAAAGCTCAATCAAGCACTGATTTCAGTTAGAGAACCACTGAAATCCAGGGATCAATGGACTGCTGTTTCATCCTAGTTTGGGAATCATTGAAGTATGCGCCCACTGGGGTTCGGACCCAGGACTTTCCGGGTACAAGGCATTAGTCCTTGGTCTAACTCGAAAAACATAATTATTGTTACTATTTCAAAATATGTTTCACTAGCAGAAATTAATAGCTTCGACTGAATTTACGTTCCCTATGCTTTTATTATTATTATTTATTAGATGGAATGGTAATTCTGAAGAAAATTGGACAAAAGCTCTGAAAATGATGCTTATCAATATGAAATGGATTATAGCAGCTTTATCTGCACGAAAGAGTAGAAAACGCTTGCCGACAATAACATCTGGGACACCGATACCAACAACCTCCAGTGTACAGTCGGGTAGTAATACCAGTGAAACATGATACCTATATATATACAGAAACATGAGAATTATACAGAATTGTTGAAAGTCAATTCACTTGTCATACACATATACACATTTCTTTACTTCATTCTGTCAGTATGGTAAAATGAGATGCGTTTCTGCTTTTTACAAACTGTCTTTCATTATTCATACTTTTTCTATTTTATGGCATTCTCTATGGATGAGTGGGTGGGTGAGTAACCAACATGCAGTGTTATACTAACATACAATGTGGTCATTTATATTATGTATATCAACATACTGTACATATAAAACGAAGTACTAGGGAAAATATGAGATTAGCTTTGCGTGTGTGGGTGTGTTTGCGTGTATTCTGTCATTTGACGCTAATTATGAATTTCTTTGTCTTCATGAGATAGATTGCTTCTTGTGATTATCTTGACCATTTTAAATATGCATATATTTTATTTTTTTTTAAAGTCATGCTTTTTTTGTTTTATTGGTTATTTTTGGCCTAAAGGAAGGTGTCTAGTAAACAAACATTTTGACAGATATCTTAGTGTTTACAAAAACTGTCTGAGGGAAAATATATGCACAACGTGGAAGTTGTTAACCTTAGCCTCCTACAACATGTTTGACTTTCAGCTATTAGACTGTTATGAGCTAAAATGTCACTACACACATATATATATATATCGAGATTTATTTAACCAGTTAGTATCATCAGTTCATACACGATAAATGTATCACCCTGTCTGTAGGGTATATAACATGTTCCAAATCAATTGGTATATGATTAAAAGGTGAGGTTCTGTGCTTGTTGATGCCTATCGTATCCTTTTCGATTTTGGAGAAACTTATGTTCTACAAGAAAATCGAATTTGTGTCATTCATTTGACAAAGCCATAAACTTTTAGCCGTTTGTTTTTTGTAGACTATAAATGCCTTCCTTTCAAAACTGTATCATCCATCCATAACGAATTCCCATTCAGTGTTAAGTTTTGCTTTGAACTGTTACTAAAGTGGGAACTGTTCAGTGTGACTGTTGATTTGGATTTTATCTCATTGGTATTGGAACACATTAAACACTTTTTTAAATAGCATAATTAGCGTTTTTTTAGACACAATTGATTATTTTCTACAACTTCTATGTCCTCTAAGCAATTTATTTATGAATCGCAAGGAAAGTGATAAAAAATGGTTCTCGAAGTCGTCACCAATGCGGTTCACCATGCCAAGGTGAAGCGGATGCCCATTGAAGACATTGGTGAGGGTAGCGCTATATCACAACTTGACAAAGTCGATGAATTCCACTCAAAGTGGGTTGAATGGTCAACGAGCTTGATCTGGTAATCTGAAAGTCCAGTGCTCGATCTCTGGTGCGATCGTGGGTCTCAAAATAGGTCGAAAAACTTGTTGATTCGTGATGAAATTGAACAACTGAAATTAATTTAATCTATTTCCCATAATTTGTATATTTAACTTTTGTTTCTTTTATAACTGTCTCTTTATATGTGAATACTTGCGTCTAACAAGAAGAAATAAAACTATTGTATAACGAAATTCGAAGTTTTTTGTTCAATCTCCTGAATTTTTTTGCAAAACTTTAAGGTTGAAGAGTATGGAATAACTGTATTTTATGTCTGAAGTAAAGTCCTCAAGTGTTGGTTCCCAGGGATTTGATTGATTTCAGGTTTGACTTCAGTTAGAGAATCATTGAAAACTAAGGAGTGCTCTACAGATGTTTCGTCCAAGTTGGAGGCTTCTCAGAAGTACACACCCATGACTCCATTGGGGATCGGAACCAGAACCCTCAGATCATGAGGTGAGCTGTCAGTACTCATTGGTTCTCTAAGTGAAGTCAATTCATCATTAAACTTTAAATGAAGCAAAGTTGAAAACTGTCAGATTCCTAAACGGATGCTTTACTATCTCGATCTATAAAATTTGCGTACTGATGATACACCTTCAAATTCAATGGAATCAAAGAGAGTTTCAATGAGCTGATGGCTTGTAATCTCCAAATTCCCATTTACGCATTTAGAAAAAACAACAGATTAAGCGAAGAAATATATTCCATTTCAATTAGTTCCTCATCATCCGCTGTACCTACACTAATATATAGTTTCTTACATCAACATTTCTACCAATCAAATGGTTATTTCAGTTAATCAGTTTTAGGTATAGACGGGGGTGAATTTAAGAAGTTAAGGGTCACCAACACAAACAACTAATAGATATCAGTAACAAGATATCTAAGTTTTGAAGGAGGGAGGGGTGAAAATTCATTACGGAATTCAAGATAAGTTGGTTCTCAGGCATTGTAAACAAATAATCAGCTACTGACAGAGATTTATTCAGAAATCAAGAGCAATTGATTAGTGGGTAAATGAACTATTTGTGACAAGGTTAGCCTTATTATTAAACTGGTTGTGTTGTCAGACAATGGTAATGGAATTATTCAAAGTGTCCGAAAAAACAGACTTTTCCCGTTCCAAAGAAACACTGCTGGTTATAAGTCTAAATTATCGATTTTCTGTCGCTTTATGTAATGAAACGATACGTACGCACATATAAAAGTAGACTTTAATTATAAATGTGGAAAAATTAGATGGTAGTGATAAGTTAGTGGTTAAAGTTGAGACCTGTTAAAGCGAATCATTTCAGTTTAAATTGAAGAGACGGGAAGCTCCATACCATAACTGTAAGATGGTTAATTGAACAAAAACTATTCCAATAGTGATTCTGATGCATTCGACTGTAGGCTTTTATCAACGCATGCCTTCGTTCAATATTAAAGATCACATGGCCAGTCAGAATAAAAGACTCTGGCAACCAACCAACCAGTTAAGAACATTCCACCCCATAAACATGCAGAAGGCAACAGAAGTTGTTTGGGCGTGTGCTAAGAGAACCGTCAAGTGATACCACACGCCAGGTTGTCGAATGGGAAACGATGAGTTAATCGTCCGAGGGTGACATGGAGGAGATCATGTGAAGAGCAGTTGGGAGATTGTGGGCGGTCGTAGATCCCGGGAAATTTGACGACAGAGGGCAAAATACCATGAAGATGTGCTTTGGGACCCTTCTGTTCCATTTGGAACTTAAGGGAAGAATGATAGGTGTGGGAAATGCTACTACAGAAGATCTGTGGTGAATACTGTTTCCTGCACACACGTTCAAAATACACAAGCACTTGACATTGGTGTCTTTCGTATTGTGTATGCGGTGATTTCAGTTTGGTTCAAATTCAGTAGCATAGTAGATATGACACTTTAATTCAATGTGAGCATTTATCACATATTCATACTCTCTAGGTGAAAACGTCAAGTGAAGTTGTATGCATTCATACATAAGCAATCTTTTTATCACCAGAAGCTTAGACCTGGTTAAGTGTATATACTGAGGGTTCAAGGAGTGATATTCGACAACTGCTCATCAGGTGGCAGACTTTTCAATTCTTCAATATAGTCCTGAATGTATCAATGAAAGTCTATCTAACAGGTGTACTGTGAGACTGTAAAACTAGATAATAGGACACCACTATCTACTCTAGTTGAGTAGTACTAGGTGATGATGACAGAATGTGACATCCATTCCTTCTTGTTTTTCAATTTCAATGATGTTGGTATTTCTTATTTATAGAAAAAAATAGTTGTTCTAATCGAAAAAAGCAACCGATTTACTCTTTACACGAATAAAAGTCCTACCACAGCAAAGCGGTCATTACTCTTATTATCTAAAGTATTATATTCACATCGATGAATTTACTAATTATTTCGACCGATGTTTAAAACATTGAAGAGTTGATAATATAGTTCGGTAATTTAGAAAGCAAAAATATTGATCGAAGAAATGTTTACTTTTCAATTAAATCCTCATCTGTGGCTCTACTCTAATATATATACATAGCATTTTTGTTACAATACACAATTTACCAATCAAATGACGATATGTTTGTTAACAATAATTAATCAATATTAACATGTCACGGGGCTTGATAATAACCAAGGTAGATAATTCAAAAAATTAAACGGTAGAAATGATTGCAACAATGATAACATTTAATTAAAGATGACTGATATCAAGCCTTCCTTGATCAACTCGTAAAAACAAAAGATGAAGTAGTTGGAAAAATTATTTGGACAATTATAATTTTTAAAGGTTTAGGGAAGTGCGATATAGTCCAGTTTATACATTCATATAACGATGGCCAAGGAAAGGAAAGTGGCTGATCACACAGGTTTGGCTTCTTCAGGTGGATTCCTATGGTTTCAGCTGAATGCAGAAGACGAACTCGTAAAACAAAATTAAGATTTGTGGGAATGCGATAAATAATTTTAAATTCTGTATTATCATCAACTTTATGTTCACTGTCTACAATGTGTGCTAAAATAGAGCTACGAATAGATCTTGTTTGTCCCTTGCATAACCATGCCGAATGATGCTCGGAAATACGATGATGGACCTGTCTAATTGTACGACCAATGTCCCTGGCTCCGCAGCTGCAGTCAAACTGGTAGATACACATAGAGGAGGCAAATTTAGGTACATTATAAATTATTTTAATTAATCCTAGCGTGTTTACAAAAATCAAAACAAGATTTTACTGAACGTTTCTCTGTGTAAGCCACAGCTTCTTCAGCAGATTTATTCGGATTTTTATTAATCATCAAAATACATATATATATTGTTTTGATTTTCTTAAACACCCTGGGATTAATTTAAATCAGTTGTAATGAATCAGTCTGACTCGGTGCTCAAATTATTCCAGGAAGTTCGTAACACCTACGGTCTGGAAACTTACAAATTTAGGTAGTTTGTCCTTATTTCTCGAACGTGAAATAGGGGTGGTGGTGAGGAGATAACGTACCTCTGCTTCATTGAAGGCTCTTTTAAATGCATTGTTCAGGCGGTGTGTCACTATTTCGCTGATGTTGTATTCGAGAAACTACAGTTTTATGAACAGTGGTTTTTTGCGCTCTTGCTGTACTGACTTTACTTGGTGTAAAATTCATATTATTCTCAATGAACTCATCTGGATGACCATTTTTCCTAAGTAATTCTCTAATAATCTTAAGCTCCTAATTGAGGGCGTCGTTTGAACAGACTGTCTTAGCTGTATGAACCAGACGCTTTATATATTTTAAAGGTGCGAAACTCAAAAAATGACTGTATTGACCTGTTGTTATGGGTTTCATATACACACTGCTTCTTTGTGAGCCATCTTCTTTCCTGGCCAAGAACGATGAGATACTGTCATTACTTTCTTTCTCTATGGTGAATTTTATTGCTGAATGAGCATTATTGAACTTGTCGAGGATGTTCATTCTCACATTTCATAAGCAGAAATGTATCATCTAAATATCCGCAATAGAAATCCAATTCCTTAAATACTCTTTTCAGCGGTCTATTCTCTACCTTAGCAAGGAAAAAGATCAGCTAAGACTAGATCTAGTCGGGGAACCCATAACCACACCATTAGTTTTCTTTTATACTTCTTTTTACCGATCTGAATCATAATTCAATGTAAAAACTTTCTATTCATTCGACCATATGTGCTGGAATATTTGCACACTATTCAAAAAACAACGAATTTTTAAATAACATATTGAACATTTATTATTAATCCCTTGGGTTCCACGTGGGATATTGGGCTTCAACAACACATCTCCACCTTGTCCTATCTTCTGTTGTCCACTTCAGCTGGGTCCACGGTTGTCCATAATCTCTCATGTACTCCTCGCCACACGATCTCCCTCATGTCACCGTCACACTGACGACTCACTCGTCGCTTCCCATACGAATTCCACTCGAGCGATGGCCTGCATTGCGCGTGATGTCATTCAACAGCCTCCTCAGTGGCGTATGCCCGATCCATCTCTATTTTCTCCGGAATATTTGTTAAACGATAGGTTTTTGGTTAATTTGTTGCCAATGTTTCTTGTGGCTAATCCTCTCTGGCCGGCCATTTGATATTCAGTATGGAGCCAGAGAAGGCAGCTGTTGACAAAAAACTGTAACTTGTTGGAAATCCTTTCCGTGACACGCTAGCCAAGTTTCTGTCCCGTATAGAAGGACTGACAGACTCCACGTTCATACTGAAAATCCGAATCTTGTTCTTTATGCTGGTTGAGTGACAGCAAAAGATTTCCAAATTGGTTTCAGGTTGATGAAGAAGTATCTTGTCTTTACGATTCTGCCTGGCTGGCTTTGACATCTTCATCCGTCCCGACTGCCTGTAGTTGAAACGATGCTTCCTAGATAACGGAAGGAAGGCAGTAACCTCTGTTTAATCTCTCCCGTTGATGGTGATTGGTGCTGGTTATTGTTTTGCTTCGCTGGTTCTCCTCATCACCTTTGACTTCTCTATGTTCACTTGCAGTCCTGTCTTCGTTGCTTCTTCAGCCAGTTTGTTGCCTCTAATTCTTCGAGTTTGTGTGACATTAGGCACTTATCATCTGCGAAATCCAGATCTTCTAGAGTCTTCTTAACGGTGGTCATATTGAACAATAATGCAAATATTAAACAGGCAAACATAAAATGAGATTGAGATAGTTAAAATGTTTAGAAAATTTGTGAGAATTTAGCGATGCACATGTGTTGGAAGAGATATCAAAGTCCAAAACTTAATAGTAAAATAAAATATTTACTTATACTTAACAAAGCGACGGCTACATATATTCAAAATATGTACCCGCAGAGATTGCAAATAAAATGCATATACAGATGCAAGGAAGATAAGAGATTTTCTAGGCAGATAAAGAATGCATTACGCAAATATGTAAAAACAAAATAAAAGAGAAACAAACAGAAATGATGCAGTGGAAACGATATTCCGTTTTTAATTCAATTTTTATCGTCCCATTGATTGACTGGGGGGAAATGCTCGACCTCTGTTGACATGTTCGCCCCTACAGGTGGCCCCCAAAGCAGATTCCCAGTACTTCTCTATGCCATATCTTCGCAATTCTTTGGCTATCTCGGCAGCCTTCCCAACCGGCATCGTACATTGTACGGACATTCCACGTCTCCATTCTTATTCTTGATTTCATCGAGGGAAGGTACGTTGGCTGACTGGTTTCCCGAAGGCTTCCACCAGCCCACTGTGTCATTTCGCCTCTCTGATTCTAGCGAAGAATAAGTTTGTTTTTTTAATATTTTTCATGTACGTTGAAGCTTCTGTAGTAGTTTTGTAACGACAGAAGAGAAGGGCCAGGTAACAGATCGTTTATCGAGAAAACCAACAGACATTTATGGATTTTTATGTACATTATTAGTCGTTATTGTTAGCAGAGAAGCAACATCTTCTGATTGGTTGTTTTCCTGCTGAAGGTTATTCTGCCATCCCTTTGTTGCTGTTTCTTAGTTTGTTGATATATCTGATAATCGTATCCGCCCACGCCAAGTCTTCTGTGATTGGTTGTTGGGTTGGACTCTGTTCTTGTTTTTTCCTCATAACCAAGATTTGGGACGTAAACATTGACGTAAATTGCTGTCTACCAATTTTGGCTAACAGACAGCTCTCACTACAGTTTGATAGGTTTTGTGGTGTACAGCCGCTGGTCCCACGCCCAACCTTCTCTCTTAACCCGGGTTTGTGACCAGAGGACAACTAATCACAGTCAAAATCACCAAGGGGAGACACATTTCACAAAGCTCCCTTGTCTCTAAAGCTATCATCTATGAAGGACAATGCAAGCTTCGCAATTTAACCTCTACGCTCAAAGAACAAAACACCAACATAGTCAAACTACATTTTCTTCTGAAACGCAAATAATAAACACAACTTTTAATGAAATATGCGATTTATTTTGAATTCGATGTATATAAGTTAGTAGTATAAATAACTAATTACTTTGAAAATTCCGAGTACTTATATCGATATTAGTAGTAGTAGCTGTAGGAATAGTAATAATAATAGTGATGGTAAGAACAATAAGAATGAGTCAATAGTACTTTTAGTAGTGAAATAAAAATAATAATAATAATAATAAAGCAAGCTAACGTGCAGGCAAAGTATACAACAACACAAAACGCGACTAAATGGTCTCTTCTTACTCATTATGCTGTTTTTCTTCTCTCCACTATGGGATCATTATGACAGGCTGAAAAATGAGGATATATTTATTATTATCATTATTGTTATTATTATTATTATTAGCGTGGTCATCTGAAGTATGTCATTGATGATTCCTTTCAACTGTTGTGTGTCTGCGTCAATAAATACAGAGAATTTTCAGTTATGTCGAGACATAGGCCTCTTTAGTCAAATATAGATAAATCTTAATTTAGAATAATAAAAAAACCGATAAAAGGAAAATAAAATAATGTAGCACTAAAGTGATGATAAACGCCCTCACCCTCATGCACACACGCAGAGGAACATAAGCAAAGAAGATATGCACAGACTATGGCTTATGGAAGACAACGTTTCTTGAAGAAATCAAAAATCATAGAAGAGAATATCAAAGGAAGCAGAAGAAGAAAAGAAGTGAAACAGGCATTTTAGATGGTCAGATATGCGCAGACATGACCAGTTCCGAGGAAAACTGGATAAAGTTTCGTGACGGAAAAAAATGCGACTAGGAGGAGTGACTATGGACAAATGAATAAGCAAGTATATATAAATATCACCGGTGTTAGTTAGGCATTATTCATTCACTGCACACATTATCTCTGCAAATAGGAAAACCACACACAGACAAACGCACACTGGCAAACATACAATTTCAAGAAAACTTATGGGGGGGGAGGAAAAGAGAAAGGGGTGAACATGTTGGTAATCAACACGTGAATATAATACTGAGTTAGATTTTAAAAAATGCAGTAAGTATGAGAAAGGCCTTATGTGTGCCTTATAACATTGTTTATTAGTAGTCATAGTAATAGATTATATATAATCTACTAGATTATTGAACACTGTGAATAGAATTTTCATGATTTAAAATTTACAATTTATTATCACTGAAAGTAATTATTGTTTATACTGAAATTCTCTTCTAGTCATACGTGTATATAATATAATATAATATATATCAAACAATTGTACCAGGCCAAGAAATCACTTGTAGAACAACATCACCAGTTGCCTTTTTTAACAAACGAACTGCAGATGAATGAGGAATATTCAGCATTGATATGTTATTCACAGCTAAGATAAGATCACCACACCTAAAAATATAACAATAATAATAATAATATAAATTAGAAATGAAATATTCTTAATTTTATATTAAACATCACTATACACAAAGAAGTGATACATGTTAATAATGTCAGAGGGCCGACAACATATTATAACATGCTAACAAGTTGTTTGTTTCACTATTGACCAACAACACTCGTCTTATTTCCCATCCTATTATATTTTACTGACAACACTAATATTGTTTCCGAACGTATTTTATCTTCCATAGTAGATTTGTGTTGAGAGCTGGCTGCTAGCCGAATCGGTAGACAGTAGCTCAAGTCAATGATTACCACCCGAAGATTGGTCGTGAGAAAAATAAGAACAAAGACTGATTCAACAACCAGTCAGAGCAGACTTTGCGTAGGCGGATACAATTTGCTGCAGATAGATAATTTGACATTGAAGAAACAGCCACAAAGAGATGAAAGACTAACTTTCAGTGAGAAACAACCAAGACTGTGTTTTTCTGCTAACAATAATCTATAATAATGTACATGAAAATCTATAAATATGTGTTGGTTTCCTTAATAACAATCTGTTGCCTGGCCCTTTTATTTTTTTGTTACAGATAGATTAACAACACTCGTCTTAATTCTCATCATATGTTTATTGATAAAACTAATACTGGTTCCAAATGTATTCTATCTTCTTTTCTGTTTGCCGCAAGTCTTATATTGATTATATTCAAATGTCAAATGAATATTTCCTTATGTATATAAACGAAGCAAGAAAGTTATGTGAAGAGTACCTTGATATGATTATGAGCAGCAATAAATTGTGCTCGAAACATGGTCATCAGTAAATATATTACTGTATAACAACACTGTGTGACTTTATCAAAATAAAATTCTATAAATAATGGAATTATACTCTAACACAGTGCCCAAGTTTTATCCTTATTCTATGAAGTTTGACCATGGAATAAAAGCTGTCGTATACATTACACCTATTGTAATAAATGTCTCATGGTGGAAAAAGAGAAGTAGTGATAATCGATTTTAAATCGAAAGTAATAAGATAGGAAACAAAATGGAATGAAACTTCCCATGTAAAACCAAAATTCTATGACGCAATAAAAGTTATTCCAAACAAGATAAGTTTATTTCATTTAACAGACAGTGATACAGTATTGATATATGGATGACGAAAATCTGAGCACAATTTATTGCTCATAATCATATCAGTGTGTTCAGGTGGCTACATAATTTGCTTTATATATTTTCTTTCTCTCCAGCCTTGTTATTCGTTGTAATTTTTCGTATATCTAGAATAGATGTTGCGTCATTTCGACTGCACTTATGCAGTGTCGACTCCATAAGCAAAGATTCAGTGATAAATCTCTCTCTCTCCACCTAACTATATTACTTTTCATTACTTTCACTTCGCCCCACCCTATTTTGTGATTACACGCATTGCAATGTCCGTTTTCGTTCTCCTTATTTCACTTAGCACGATTAATCATTCAAGCTTTAGCTAGATCCCTATACCCCCCTCACCATAATCTACTTAACCTCGATCAACTAGTTTGACCTACGAAACTAACCTTACAGTCATTGCATGCATGGTATTTGATAAATTATATTAATTTTCTTAACTGGATCTCCTGGCTCCTTAAGCCAAAAAGGTTTATCTATGAGTGAGGTGGTTGGTCGATTTAAATGCCATCGCCGATTCCAGACTCATGAAAAACTTTACGTAGGCCTTCTAATGTTCTTTCTTTATATTGGAAGTACTATATCTAGGTTTTAAATTCTCTACTATTCACTTTGTTTATTCCTTTACGTCCCCAGTGGGAAATACGGCTTCAAGCTGGAGCTTTGAAGTTTTGGAGGCAGTGGTGTTTATTTTAACGCGATTGAGGTTGCTAGCCTCATGCCCAACCTTCCCTCTGCACCAGTCTTATTACTGGCTTAGATGGGTTTAGGAGTGCGTCGGCCAGGGATCGAAACCCGAACCATATGCGTGATCGGCGAGCACTCGATCGTTGTGCCACCGCCGCACCATCATTCACATTACTACTCTTATTTTCTTTATGGGTTTTCATACAGTTTTTAAATAAAAACTAGTGGGTAGTTATACTCTATCACTTTTCCTTCTATTTGTTTAATCTCATTATTTAAATCTTGATTTATTAGTTATGTTCCTGGCTAAATTATATAAACCCACACATTTATTGATTTCTGGTGGGATGAATCAAAGTCTATGTATCTATTATAATGTGTTAGTTTTCTACATACATATAAAGCAACTTATGAAGCCATATGAATACATTGATACGATTATGAGCAACATATGATGCTTGAAACGTCATTCAGTTATTAATAGTGTTTCACTCCCGACCGATAGCTGCTACCCTGCCGTGGTAGTCGGGCTTGCATATCGCGCAGTGACTCAACCAGCTACACTGGTTGGAACTTATGTTCCTACCATGCCAGGAAGATTGTTGGGATAATGATTACATGAAAAGCAGTTACTAGCATAATGTGGGATTTTTTACCACACTATGCTGAGGGTCTATGGGCAGTCTTACTGCTGCGGAATAGAGACGTAACAGCAGTAAGGTGTTTCCCCCAGATGACCAGCATGCTAGCCAACTATGCTGTCTCTCCACTCTGTAGAGAGGGGGTTAGAGAAGGCCGACCACAAAAATTCTACATCCCAACTTACCCTATGGTGATCCGTAGTCAGCGGTAAGTTACTAACACGGAACCCCAAACCAAAAAGCCAGCTCAAACAGACTGTGTGTGACCGGGCTCAAGCAGTTGCCCCTGGGTTCTGCTCCGCGGTCACGCAACACTTGCCCTCTTTCTGTTTCAGGTACCCTGGAAAAAGTAAACTTTCAAGGTGTGGGCAGCTGGGAAGTAATAACCGCCCACAAACTTCCAAAAGCACACGAAGACCTTCTGATCAATAGTGTATCACTGTGTGTTATATAAAATAAAGTTACCTAAGATGAAAGTATACTCTATCACAGTGCTTCAATTCTACACTTATAGTAATAAAGGAAGGGGACGACCAAAATTTTATAAATCACACGTTACACATGATGCAAATCAAAGTACCAGAGGAGATTGAACAGTTTAAATTTCGGCACTTACAACGAAGGTTTCAGACTGTGTCACCCAGAAATGAGGCACAGTATGATGCAGAAGTACATCTTTGTTAAACTTAATAAACAATCGATCAAAATCACGAGTTGTAGTCATAGATACCATACATGAATAGCTATCTGCTTTCTGTGGTTAACAGAATTTGTGTGAATTTCTTATACAAAAAAGACATCATATCTATTTTCCTCCTCGAAAGATGTAAGAAACACACCTTAAAACGTGAATACTGTTCAGCATTTAAATCGTCCTTTGGCTACAGTTGCAAGTGATTCTATTAATCAGCAAACCGTCAAAGATTATTCTCTGATCAGAACTGCTTCTAATACTGGTTTGGCAAAGGTTCGAATAAAGCTATACGCAGCTCATCTCGTCAATCCTCTAAATTGAATCGACTCTAGCAAAACTTTCAAAGTTATTTATCGTATATCAACCCAACCTCTCACATTGTCTACCAGTCAGACTTTTATATACAGAAGAGGCGATTGGTATTCATCTCTAAACAAGCCAAACCTGTGTGTGTGTGTGTGCGTGTGTCCAAAAGAAATTTGTACAGCACCTTTCTTTGCCATGGTCAACTACGTTATATATGTATTGAGTTTTTATAAACGATTTTTCCCTTCCCTTGAACCTATCTTTTGACTTTATTATTTTGTTATATTAACGATTCTGGGCGTCGGTGGCATAGCGGTTAGGACGCTCCCCGACCATGCACATGGTCCAGGGTTCGATCCCCAGCCGACGCAGTCCTTTACCTCGCTAAACCAGTAATAAGACTGGTAAGGAGGGAAGGTTGGGCATGAGGCTAGCAACCCCATCCTGTAAAAATAAACACTGCTACCGAAACTTCAAGCCTCTAGCTTGAAGCCCTATGTTCCACTGGGAACGTGAAGGAACATATATATATATATATATAAACGATTCTAGCTAATTCTAGTGACTTGTTTGTATTTTACGAAATTCTACTAAGTCATCCTATTCCTCTTAGCCAACATCATTATTTTACAAATTTCTTGATTATGCAATAACTTGTTGCTAACCCCTAAGGATTAACTGATCTTCAGTTCCGTGATTAACTTTCCCTCCTCCCCCTTCAAAATTTTATGTATCTTGTTACTAACATCTATTAGTTAATGGTTTTGATGATTTTTAATCCCCACCCACCCCCCTATACCTAAAACTGATAGACTAAAATGACGCTGAGGAACTAATTAAAAATTTGTTTTGCCTTAATGCGTAAATGGGAATTTGGGAATTAATTTCTATATTTACCAGGAAACGCAGTTTTTATTGTACGCCGCTTCACATGAAATACTGAAAAATGTTTGATACGCGTTTCTAAGGGACAAAGCTGGTTTAAATGAATACCAAATTTAAGCTTTTGAACAAAGTGATTCCATAGGTTTAGCCAAAAGAAAAAGTTAGACAGGTGACAGACGTTTGTGAAAATGGATTACTATGTAACTATTGAGACTTTTGACTGTCAGTGAAAATTTAAGAGTGCCGAGTAGATTTCGAGCATTTCGCTGCATAATTTACAGCTAAGCCAATTATTGGATGCGAATAAAAATCAGGAAGTTCAAGTGTGTTTTTAATGATGTACACCCATTGAGGAATATAGCTGGCCATAAGAATTTGTTTCTCAAAACAAGTGGTTGGATTAATCGCTAGTGAAACTGTTAACATCTTCAAGCGGACACAGAGAGACAAAACAAAAGTCGACAAACAGTAATTATTTATAAACAATATTCACTCACTTTAGTCGACCGTCTTTATGGGCAAGGAGTCCAGGAACTATAGATTTTATCACAATTGGACAAGGATAAAGGTTAGAGTAACCAACTTTGGCGGTGACTTTTGGAGATGATTTAATAATTTTCCCATCAGAAGTGTTCGAATTAGATTGGCCTGATATCCCTTGATCATGACCTAAACCACCAACAATACTGAAACCGAGTGGTTGTGAAAAAGAACAACCACTAAAACTCGGCGTACTACTACTTTCTCGACGAAGAAGAATTACTCGTGCCAGTTGACAAATTGGTGGTAATCGAAGCCAATATGTCCAAGAAGGCATAAAGTTTTCTGGACCATCACTTGTTTCCGGAGCTGTAATGACACGCAACTGTATTCGTGTTTGCATTAGACTTATTTGTCGGAGAACTTCAACAGCTTCATGATGCGTAAGACCAACTAGACCAACACCATTGACTTCTAATAGAATATCACCTCGTTGAATCTGAACAATAGAAAAAATGAATGGCCAAAAGATACTTTACTTCATACGACAGTAGAGAAGCTATCAAAAAGAAGCAAACATGGCTGATAGAACTCAGACACATTAAACTAGTTACTGACTAGTGTCCAAACAAAAATAATAAAAGCAGATTTAAAAGAGTTAATTCGATAATATATATATATATATATATATATATATATTTATATTCCCTATTGTTACTGGCATATTTCTCAAATGGTATCTCAAAGAATTACGATGGGCAAGCTTGTTTGTTAGTCGTGAAGTTAGAATTATTCATGAACAGCCTTATTGGATAGTGGTGGTTCGTTTATTTATGGCTTAACTCTATTCCAACCTAACCTTATGTCAGTCAGTATTGCTTCTCGGCGAAAGCGGCGGCTCGGGATGAGTAACATGTGTTCTCAAGCGATGTAGCTTCACAACTTCATCAATCCACTTTCCCTCCATACATAACACTCTAAATTTAAAACCAATATTACTCACCATATTGTACCACTTGATATGGGAGACAGAACGCAAGCGTCTACGGTCAAAGACACTTAACCTATTCATATCTTCCAATTTCAATAGCCATGTCTCAGAGGCATAAAGAAGGACAAAGCGAACTGTTATACAGGGCATACATCCATGGATAGTACAAAAAATTAGACATCTTAAAATAAGTAAGTTATCTATAATACAAACAACGAAACATATGATGGAAGAGATTTGTAGCTCAGGTGGATGATTTCGATGTGATTGGGTTCTCTGAGCTGGATAGTTAATTTGCGCAAATTAACTATCCAGCTCAGAGAACCCAATCACATCAAAATCATCCACCTGAGCTACAAATCTTCTCCATCATATCTAAATCTTACGAGGGGAACACGCTTCTCTCTGTTCGAAAGTGGGAAGACTTCGCCAAAAGGCAAGGATTCACCAGAGAACAATTATTCTTCCTCCATGAGTGCCGCAAATTAACTATCCAGTTCAGAGAACGCAACCGCATCAAAAACAACGAAACATAATTCACACACGCACACACAGACACAGCATTTATACACATATTCAGAGTAAATTCTACATAATAAGAATGTTTTGACAAACTTTTACCGTTAAGAATGATAAATCTTATTTAATGGCTAAAATTTAGTAATCAGAGAAAGAATTAATTTTCAATTGAAAAGTTATCACGCAGGTTGTCAACTCTGTAGAATAATAAACATTTATAGACCATAGATAGAGAGTGGCAGTGATATTACTTATTCTATCAATACTCATATAACAACAGTAATAAGTAAAACGTTTTGGTCAATAATTAAGACGAATAATAAAATCTTTGAAGCATTGAAATTAGGATGATCTGGTGTGTAGTAGAAACTTTTCTATACCGATAAGTAGAATGATGACTTTCAGAGAATTTTCTTTACACTTCCACTCTCTACTAATCTCAGGTTATGAAATAAAAAGGATGTGAAATGGTGGAGAGTGGATAAAACCTGGTCAACCTCCCAAGAAATATGCTCATATGGGTATGGGTATGCATTAATAGTATCTGCTATGTAAGTTCTATTAGTGCACCCACGTGGTGGATGTTCTCTGCAGAAATTGAAAGGACAGTGGAGAATGTTCAGTGCTTAGCGACAGATTGATGGATATATACGGTCTAGGTAGGGCAGCCGGGAAATTCTGAACTCAAACAAATGGTACACACAGTCATTAGATTGCACAAATAAGATATTGCACATCTAAACCTGTACAAAACACTAGCCTCTGTTGAAATTCAGTTTGTAATACAATTTACTTTCGTTAGTCTGTGTGCAGAACGTCCAATAACTTCGATCTAAATGAACCTCAAAATGATTGAATGGACACAAATCTACCAAGCTGGATAGAGCATAATACTAACTATAACTAGACAGTTGGAACAGTTTAATTGGAGATAGGAGAAAAAATCAATAGGAATAATTCAGACACTTACCAACTTTGAACGACCTAGAACACATTCAGAACTTATATTTGTTACATATATAGGTGTATCTCCACGCTGTGATTGACGCCCTCCAGCAATTGATATGCCTAAAGGTTCTTCTGGACCCTTATTTACAACAATAGTCCTTTCTTGACAGGATGGTGGTTCTGCAGAAGTTGACTAAATTTCATAAATAGAAGAATTAGATTATATGCATTGAGGATATGTTGGAAGGCATAAAATATCATAAAAGTGCGATGCATTTAAATACTAACACCTTTATTTTGATTCATTAAGATCAAAAATAACTCAGGACGTGTTGCAATTGTGCCTTTTATAACACTTTTCGTATATCAAAATGAAATAAGACAAAAAGAGAGTATGCATACAACAAATAAAAAGTAATATCTGCATTGGGGCAACTTTTTATCTTTCCACACTGCTTCATTCTGCTATAACCTGTCTCATTAGCATTTTTTAAAATAAGATTTTGCTATGACTATAATCATTCTCACACTAAACATTATGCTTATATTCTTCTCTTCACTTCACTCAACCTCATGATCTATGTATACGAGCAGAACATTTCGAGATGGTATATAGCTAGTCAATCTCACATGAGAAGTGAATTGACATAACCATAGTAAAACTATGTATGCAAACAAAAAGGTTTTCCTTTTCTATCACTATTATATCCATAACTTCATTTTGGCGCTTTGATGAATTATGTTTATCTGCTGAATACGCAAGTGACGCTTCAAAACACCTGTACGCTGTACCTGTATACCATAAAAATGAACAACATTTTGAACTAGCAGTAATAAATATTTAGAGATATTACAGCTACTAGAATCAACCATCCCGGTTTTATTCCAAGAAAGACGTCATCAGTATATGACTAAAAGAAAAGCAATATTATACTTTGACACCGAGATTAAGCTGATCCACAATAAAACACTTGTAGCTGGTTTGGAATGTATGTGCCCGTGTGTTCTGTGCACATTACCTACCATAGAGTACTGGACAGTTGCCTCCTCCTAGTTCGGGACTCTTCAGTAGTACGTACCCATGACGACAGCAGGAATCAAGTCCAAGACAGTCAGGTTACGAGGCAAGCTCGTTGACCATTCAGTCACAGGGACGTAGTCCATTTCCAGTCCAGTACTTCCTGGATTTCAATAATCCCGTGAAACGAAAACTTTATTATGGATAAGATTTTATTTTGATCAATCACACGGTGTTATACAGTAATATTAACTGATCACGTTTCGAGCACAAACTATTTCTCATAACCATATCAAGTTACTCACAACTTTTTTTCTCTCTTCTTCTCTTGGAGTCTATCAATAAGAATTTACTTGAATTCATACGCTTCGATGATCTGACTGAGCGCAAGTAACAGTTTGTGCGGCTGCTAGTCAACATAAAGGATAGCACAGTATGTTTAATACACCTTGTTATACGCTTGTGAGATTGAATAACAGCGTAATTCCGGCTCCCTGAACCAATTCTACTCAGGTATTTATGATAATGTGTACTTATATGATTTTGTCACCTGATTCTATAGCGTGTAGACCTATGCCTGATGATTTTTCAAGCTTTTCTAGTTCAACTGGATATCTCGGTGGTCAAACAGATGCTCTACGGTCTTCATTTCTTCTGATTTTGATTTCGCGCGATGTTTGTACGATGTATATCGTATCACATTCCAAGGATTTTATTTTATAGAAACAATTAGTTAGGGGATCTTAAGGGATTTGGTCTTTTATGTAGTCTTCTTTATCTAATTGTGTCTATAAAATAAAATCCTTGGAATGCGATGCGATATACATCGGACAAACATCGCGAGAAATGAAAATCAGAAGAAATGAAGACCGTAGACAATTTGTTCGACCAGTGAGAAATCCAGTTGAACTAGAAAAGCTTGAAAAATCATCAGCCATAGGTCTACATTCTATAGAATCAGGTCAAAAGTTGATTTTGACAATATTGAAATAATCCAGAAAAATTTCAGAAATCACAAAGAACGTCTAACATCATCAGAAGTACTTCATATCAAGAGGAATCCAAATTGTCTGAATAGGAATGATGGAATAAAACAGAATTTGACCTGGTTACAACACGTCCGTCCCCCATGAAGTGACAAAGTTAACACGAATGTGATAAGCAATTTCATCATGTAAAAACGCGTTGCTTTTATAATTTTATACACTTATCAAATCCAACAGTCTACATCTAGTTTTGTTGTCTTTTGGCTGATTCGACAACGGAAAAATGACCCCATGCTGAGGAACAATGATTAAGTTGTTATATATAAGCTGAGATTTTGTAAATTCTGGTAAAGCTATTAGCATTAAACAGAGAAACCGTTTTGTTTTTCATTCATTGGGAAATACAAAAAGCCTTTATTATAATGTATACACATCTATGTGCATATATTCATTCACATGCTCCTGTGGAGCTGATTACATTGGACATTGTAAGAGTAATCTCCATAAACGCGTAGCTGAACATTACCCACTTTGGTTAATGATAGGTGAGAAAAGGACGACAAAGTTTTCAATCTGTGAACACCCTCTGCAGTCAGATCATTCGACCCCACGTGATTTGTCCTTTAAAGTCATCTACAGGACCAAATACAATCACCCCAGAAGTTTACGTTTTCTCTACTTATACACAGCTGAAGCTCTAGCTATACACGGACAAAAACCTAAATTATGTATTTAAAAACTTTTTTTAAACTCCTTTCTTTACCTTGGTCGGAATAATGTTCTTTTATTTTATTCTATTATACCACTTGAATTCATTCCACTTCACTTCACCTTTCCTAATTTTTCAGACAACACCTGACCTACAATTTAAAATCTCTATACCAGTTTACTTACTTAATAATCTTTAAAAGTTTTTAATTCATCCACTTCAGTTCTACTCCCATAGAACATTATTTTAATTATCTTTATTCTTATCAGATGTGCAATATTGACTGAGTAATTCCTAGTGCTAATTATTGCCTTTTTTGCTGAATATAAATACGACTGCACAGTTAGCTTGAAAATGAAGTCGTTGAAAAGAGATATTTCTTCGTTGAACAAAAAACTGTGTTTCTCCTTAGTGTCAAAGCATTGAAACCAAAACAGAAATAAATCAATAGCAAATAAGTTTAGAAGGAGTTTAAAAACAAAAATACTACTGAAAACTTACAATAAATTGTTTCGGCAGTCTATTCGTGTTATTCTGATGAGTACGTGAATTGAATGCAATAACTGAATCCAATGAATTAGATCGATTACGTGGCTCTTTACAGCTGCTCATTTTACTCAAATGACTATCATCATTTACTGTAACCGCTGAATTTGGTGTTGTAGGATTATAACAGGCTAATTTTTGTTCAGTTGAAGGACGTATCAATTCTGTAGTTGAATGTGTACTTGAAGCATTCGTGTCACGATCTTCTAAACTGTTAGACCAGGCAAAGTTATGCTGACTAATATTTGATGAATCCTGTTTATTCGGATGATCAGTTGAACTCAACTGGAGTGATTCTAATGTTAACAGACTATTCTCTAGTTTTTCTTCAGAATCTGTTGTTGTTCTTAAGATATCTGGTGTATCTGAACGATTCCGTCGACTTATTTTAAAGATAACATAATCTGAAACAGACTAGAGTATACAACAAACAAAAAACACACGAAGAAAATGAGTGCAAAATGCAAAAGAAATGGATAAATTATTATATAAACTACAGAAATGTTTTCCTAAATGTTCGCCTTACAAGAAAGCCAGATAGGGTGGTATAAAGAGAAAATTGCATAGGAAAAGCACATGGACAGTACAATATACACATTTTCATAGCTTCGTTCCTCTCCAGTACAAAAGAAATTTAGTAAGGAACCTCAGTCACAAGGTTAGAGCTATATGCTCAAAAGAGGTACCTGAAGATGAACTAAGGATTGTATATGACACCCTAAATGAAAATAGGCATCCAGACAAATTCATGGGTATGCTTCAAATTATTCTGTCAATCTGTTGTCAAGAGTTACGTGAGAAGTAAGGCAATTTTTCAAAGCAATGGATAGTGCGTATCACTGTGATGTGTCACCATGCTGATGTGATAGTTGGTTATCCCTATGTAACATGCTTGAAAATTATTCTGAAGATTTAATCTGTAAACAGTTTAAAATCAATATTCGAATTACATGTAAACACACAAAAAACCAAATACTCATGAAACACTTTGTCCTATACAATATTATTGTGAGAAAATGTTCATCACGTAATATGATCATTCAGTCAATAATCTGGTGTATTTGATTCTATGATACAACTATTACAATTACAAAAATGAACATACATTTTTAAGATACAATAAGACGAATGTAAAAAAAATGCAGTCGTTCACAAAAATTCATCGATTCTTAGTTGAATAGAACTCAGTTGCCAGAAACAACTTTTTCATATACCTGGCTTAAGAGCCACACTAATTGAATGTGAAGGTTGATGATACTACCTAGACTGAAATAGGTCGACTGGGATTCGAACCCTTGACTCACTTGGCTGAAAGTCAAGCGCTTAAGCCAACAGAGTTTCAAATTTCAAACATTCAAGTAGGCAGAAGGAATTAAATGAAGTCGAAAAGTGATTTAGTATAGAGAGCCTTAGAAGAGAGGTAAAAACAAACTATAATAAACAGCAATAAAATAGGTAGAATTTCTTTTTTTTTTTACCTTTTGAATAACGCTGTCAAAAAATTAATAAAAACGATTCTAAAGTTTTAAACAATGATGAATAATGAATACACTACCGGCAAATTGATTTACTTGAAATTAATTCAATAACAAGATTATGACAACTAACGTCTAAAAAGTTCAGGAATTCATGAAAATCGATCTGTTTAGACCAGACAAGAGAGGAGAAGAAAATTTCAAAATAATTTTAGTAAAACTTAAATTATTCTCTATGCGCTTTCTGAAATGAACTTTCCTACTTGGTTGTCGTCTTTGTATTCTCATATCAACTTAGCAATCATTGCGGATATAAAATAATTATACCTTCAACAAACAAATGCGAGAATTTGTACAAGTATTGTGTTTATAACGAATGATGGAATATGGTTAATGTTCCATTCTGGGATATTTAACGCAACTTTATTATTCGATTAATTTTAAATAACCATTTCCCGTAAAAACAAATTATTCTTACTTTTTTTCATTTATAGCTGAATGCCACTCATCAAAGAGTAGTGCTTGTTACCTAGTTCAAAGTGATCCAAACACTGGATAGTGGTTTTTTTCATTTATGGTTGAGGTAATCAGCGGTATACCGGTTCAACCTCGCAGAGAAAACCGAAGTAGTTAAAACTACCGGCATTCTGCTTTGACTGGAAGCCAGGTAGTGTAACTAACATCACGCGTTTGGTCCTTCGTTTAATACAGACTAAAGTTTACCAGTCAAGTTAGCAATGTCACCACTATGTTAAGGGGATCACTTTTATGGTGCACCTTGAACTGTTGTTATGTGGCTTGAAGTAATCGGCAGAAAGTCTTGGAACTAAGTTTTGAACTTGTTGGCACTTGTCAGGAGCTCGAATGGCTTAGTGATCACATCTCAAACTGTAGCACTGTGTGAACCCAGGTTCGAATCACAGAAGAGATATGAGTTTCATAAAGATTGCAGATACGCCTTAATGACGAGTACCAAAAAGCACAAAACCTAGGCGCCTACGGCTTTCTGCCAATCATCTCCAACCACCTAACACTCAAATTCTATCCGGTTGATATAAGTGCTATTCAACTTCCCGTGCCAATCAATCAGTAGTTCATAACAACATGAATGTACACTTGCATTCTGAACTGGCATTTATCGTATCAAGTAGATCTAAAATTGCTATCTGAATAATTATGGTTTCCAAAGAAAAGTGTGATGAAATTTCACCTAGAATTGTGTAAACTGTAAATGGGAAATTTCACTTGCGAATATCAAGTATGCGAATGTGAGTGAATTCCCTATACTGAGACAGCTGGGTGTGTCAGTAATCTCCTGCTACATTAGCGTGTACGCTAAGACCCACGGCTTGCATCTATTTAGATTCATTTAGAAATATGATGACAACCTCCAGTTCAAAGCACAAAACACTTAAAAATCATCAAAGCTACACTCTTTTCTTAATATTAACCCATAGTCAAACTGCTGTGTAATTATCTGATTTGATTGGTTACAGGTTCAATGACGAGGTGACATTGCAAATTGGCAGAAGTCACAATTCATGGAGTACAGGATCGGGTTTCATTGGTTGAATGCTCCTAACTAGCTCACTTTGTAACAGGAAGGTACTGGATTCGGACCCCGATGAGTGAGTACTGCTGAAGAGTCCCAAACCAGAATGAAAAGCCATTTCAACGTCCCCTGGTTTCCTAATAGCTCTCTAACTAATGGCAGATCATGATCAAACCCGTAATCAAGACTATTTAATTGCTAAAATGCTATCATCTTGTCAGACGATAGGGAGTTGAGCTAACGTTTAAAACTCTTACAATCGATCCGGTGTAAGTAAACTGTTGAGTAGCCGGAGACCACATTAAGACACTTTTAAATTGACTGTTTATTTTTAACAATTTTACAGTAAGTAACAGTTCAATATGAAATTTATCCTCGAAAAAGACAAGTATAAGTTCTATAGTAGATGTCATTATTTTTATATATATATTATTCTTGAAAAGTATTCAATCACCAATATCAATCAAGTGAATATAAAGAGAGAAAACAAGAGAGAGACACTTACATTAATTATTTGAGCTGCTTGTTCTTGTGTTCCATTTTCTAAATCTATTCCATTAATTTCTAGTATACGATCATCTTTTTTCATTCTTCCATCAAGATCTGCTTCACAACCGGCTACAAGTTCTAGTACATAAAGTCCTGGTAAGTGCCTAACGTATAGATTCAATAGTATAAAGAAAAGAATGATAGCGAGGAGAAAGATCTGAATTAACAGTAATGATGCAGACAAAAGTGTTACGATATATAAGAAAAGAAATCTAGTTTTCAGGTTATCAGCTAACAAGTCGTTGTCTGTATGAAATTATCTTCCATTCATTGAGGTTTGGATGGAACAGATGGTTTCAAGCTATAAAATGCCAGTACCGACTGTGTCCTGTTGTTTTTTTACGCCCAATCTAACAGGCTTAAGTATCAGCTAGTGAATTCACAAAGTTTCTGAGTGTTTCGGCAGGGAATTCAACACAGACCTCCAACGTGGTTGGTGACCAATGCATACAGCCTTGGATCGATATTCAGTCTGTTGATTTTTTAAATTGCTTTGTATGTATATATATATATATATATATATAGTTATATGATATTATTGGTATGTACTTGTTGAACTGTTGACCCGAGACAGTAAAAAGCTCTCTGCTCAACGATCTGTCTTCTTCCTTTTTTCTTTGAGCCACGTGTCCATGGTATCATGTAGTGGTGGATGTTGTTGCGAATAGGGATTAGAACAGTAGGCTCACGAATCTACTGGTTAGGAAGTTCGTTACCGCAAGAGAGTCAGAAAATACTAGGCTGGCAATCTACTATCCAAATCATCCACTCTTTGTTTCTATATGCTTGTGAATTAATCGTTTGTGTGATAAAATTACTAAGGCAAACAATGCAGGACATACATATCCATGTTTTCATTTGAGAAAAAGTGAGGTACACACCTAGTTAAACAAATATCACTTCACTTTAAGTAAAGACAGAACAATGAAATAACACTCCTCTGAATAACAAAAATTGCGAGAAAAAACTTGTAAATATTATATTGGTTCATTCTACAGCCTAACATGACAACCAGTTCTTTTGAAAGTGATAGTTATGCGCAGAATAATCATGAGAAGACGAGAAAAATCTTCAATTTTAGACATTTGAAAGACAAAACGTGTGAGTGATGGAACATTCAATTTTTAATTAGATACTTATCTGTAGCTCTAATACATATGTATCCAACTTTTAACATAATACAAAACAACATACTGAACTAGCTGCGATAGGTTTATAAACAATTTCTTCAGCTATGCGTCGGTGGCACAGCGGTTAGGGCTCTCGCCGACCATCCACATGGTCCGGGGTTCGATCCCCGGCCAACGCACTCCTTTACCTCGCTAGGCTAGGAGTAAAGCTGGTAAAGAGGAAAGGTTGGACATGAGGCTAGCAACCCTATCCTGTAAGAATAAATACCACTGCTACAGAAACTTCAAGCCTTAAGTTCCACTGGGAACGTGAAGGAATAAAAAACACACCTAATTTTGTCTTCTTTATGTGTACCTAACAGTTTGGTTGTTCCTGAAGAGCTGGTTACTCTGAGGATACAACTAGACAGGTTTATCACGGCATTTTGGAACACTATCCTTCATGGTCGAGCAAGGGACAAACAAGAGTTATTCATAGCTCTCCAATTTAGCACATCTTGTAGATAGTGATCATATTGTTGATGTTAATACATGATTTGAAGTTATTTATCACATTTTAAATAACCTTAATTTTCCTTTATGAATTCGTCTTCTACATACATCTAAAGCTGTCGGAATCCACACCTGAAGAAGCCAAACCTGTGTGTTCACCATTAATACCAATTTTAGAAGAGACTTCTTCCTTGCAAAACCAGTAAATAGATAACTGAAAAATGTCATCAATGAGTTGGATGTGTATTACATTACAGTTATTTATTGTCAATGATGAACTTATCTTAATTAGTGAGAATGTGTAAGTATATATGAATTATTGATGAAAGTTAAAAGTTTCACACGAAACCAGACTGCAACACTGATATATTTTAAGAACATGACATCAATATTATAATTTTGGTTGTTTAACTATTCACTAGTATACTGTAAAAAGTGATCTTCACAAGCAAAACAGACAATGATTCAACGCGTAAATGAACTCAAATAAAGTGGTCTCTCTCTATAATCAGTAAATATCCTCGAAGAAAGTGAATAGTCATTAAATACGCCCCAAAGGAGGGGAAGATGTTTCATTCTGAAAAACTTTAAATATACAAAAAAGAAAAGGCATTAGTAGTTACAGTTAATGAGCACTACTAATCACAAAACACCCACAAAAGAAGAATAGTTTGTTAATTAATAGAGATGGATACAACAAATGCTGAGAAGAACGTTGAGTAATATCGCACGCCAGGTCCTGCAGAGGAACCCAAAAAGAAGAGAAGGCAAGTTGGGCGTGGGTCCGAGGGTAAACATAGAGGAGATTGTTTACGGGGGTAAATTATAGCCTATGGGTATTCGTGGAACCACCTATAAAGGGCTAAAGAGAACAGGGTGAAATGCAGATGTGCTGCTGAAGTTGTAAGTCCCACCCGAAACCCACGGGAACAATAAATAAGTGGATGTCATGATTGCGCAAATACATTACACGTACCAAATAAACTACGTCTTCTAATTCTTTTGTCGAGATTCATAAAGTTAATTAATTAATTGCTTTAAATGCTTCACAGCTTATTGGATTTTTTGACAAATGGGTACAGATTTTTAAGTGCAATCGTTGGGTGAAAGTGCATTTGCTATTTCACCAATGTTATTTCCTACCTCTATCGCACATATATAACTTTAGTGTAGATTATGAGTTTCCTGGGGAGTTTAAAGAGTCAATACAAAATTGTACATGAATCAAAGATTTTTCCTGTGACGAATTGTATAACTGTAACTTCGGATATTTGGTCAACTAAGTCTAAGATCAATCAGGATAAAGGTTCAATCATGAGAATTGATATTTCTAAAATTTCTATACGCTCTAGGCAAATAATTACATTGTTAGTTATCCGGCATAGTGCTTTCTTCTAACCGGCTATGAGCAAAATGGCTGACAAAGCTGCCAAGTCTCGCAGACTTTAGTGAGTATAGATTGATCCAAACCGAAGGTCAACTGGCTTATGTTCAGAATCACTAAGTCAAAATAATGTCATATTTTTGTTAAGCTCGATCAAGGATTGGTGTCATTTTGAGAACCATGGAAACTAGGGTGTACTGGAGAGCTGTTTAATCATAGATTTGGACTCTTCATCAGTACGTGTTCACTGTGGTTCGAACCTGGTACCTTCCGGTTACAAGGAAATTTCGCATACTTTTCAGCCACTGAGACCTTTCCCAGTAGCCCATGAATCCCAACTTCTACCAATGCTTGGTTATATAGCGGGACTACTAGCCAATGTTATCGACTAGGATTTGTCCTCATTCTTGACCAGATGGACCTCACTGGTCACGACTTCCCACCAGAACTCCAGGCACGCATCGAAACAATTTCGAAGAGTTAATTTGTAGGAATTTAATTTGTTTCAGGTTTGATTACGGACTGATGTCCATCCAAAAACTCAAACGAAGCAGCTGTCTAGGACTCCTGGCTTTTTTCTCCTTGATTCTCACACTGACATGAGTCAGTGATCGTACCTGAAATAATCTAACTCTTGAGAATGTCATGTTTAGTGCTTGGTATCTAGAGATGTGAAGAAGGACTAATGATGAGAAGAAGAAGCAAACTGTTGCTGGTGTGTAGTCATGGATGAAACTAGTTAGACAATACAATATTCACCAATATGTAAATGTTAGTTTTAGTCGAATTAAAGCTTTTATATATATGTATATCGAAATAACTCTGGCAACATTTGATTTACAAGGAAGGAAAACTTAGGATAGAGAAAAAAAGATCCAAAAAGTATGTTTAAATTTGTGAGCTTTATTTTATGCAAATGTGCATATGTAACATACATTACACGTTTATCTATGAAAGCGTGAAAAGAAACACTCTTTTTATTTCTGAAATGTTATTTATTAACTGATTCAAGTTATTCATAAAGAAAACTTGGATAAATATCGTTTAGTTAATTAATTACACCTTCACGTCTGCATTTATTTCAAATTAGAGTTAGACTTACAGTTTCACAATTTGAAACGTGACTGACTACACCTAAATCATTAAATTATACAGGAGAAAATAATCTAAACAGAACCAACTGATGACCACATATACAGTGTGTTCATATATTTAGTTAGAAAATGATATCTAATGAAGGAAATTGGTGGATCGTGACTAGACTACCAGTGGAATCAAGGATGAGCTTTCGTCCTGTCTGGGACTTGTCAGCTAGATGAACCTGCAATTCCCTGGTGAATGATGGTATTCTCACTGATACTTGTACCCGGTACGCATCGTTCAAAACTTTACAGCAATAACCAGTAGATCTCCTGGGATATAAGAGCAGCCTCTTATTTGACGCGTACTAGCTATTACTCATGATTTTTACCAAACGAAAAGTTTAGATCTTTTCATCCAGTCACTAAGCTGTAATATAAATATAAATAAATTTGAAGATTCCCATTCAGTCATAGAAAAGAAAAGGTGTTCAGCAAAGAGTTACTCTTTTCGGGGATATCATTCTCAAGCTGTACAAATCGCAAATTTATAGTAATTTTTCTTGGCAACAAAAGGAATATTTCCAAAGATGTGTTAGTGCAATTGTTAATTTTTTGACAACAAATTACGTAATTAAGAAGGCGTTAATCGGTTAGAAACTAAAATAAAGTTACAAAAGTAGGTCGGGTGACGTAATCTAATTGATACGGTTCAATGAAAAATGAATGAGAGCCGTTCACTGAAGAAAACCTTCGCAGCCGAACTCAGACTTTCTCTACGAAACCAATGATTCGCACGAACGTGAAGGATAAGCTTCCACTGGGGGCCTCATCAATGTGCATCTACCAATTCACCTGCTCATGTGGAGCTAGGTATGTCGGCCGTACCCAGCGTTTGCTATCCAAACGAATCAGCGAACACTTACCTTCATGGTTTTATAAAGGAGAAAGAAGATACCCCCGCCACAGCTCTATCCTAGAACACTTGATCGAATCCAGACACCAAGCAAACCCACAAA